CACCTGTCTGGACGCCCGGCCAGGCCCGGGCCTCGGGCTCGCGCTCTCCCTGCAGGCTGCGAGCGGCCCTGCGCGCCCACCGCCGGCCCCGCGCTTGCCTCCGGCCTTTTCTCGCAGCCGCCGCCGCCGCCAGGCCGGGCACGGCGCGGCCCAGCACGGCGCGGCCCGGCGGCCTGCGTGCGCCCTCCGCGGCGCGCCCTCGCTCCGCCCTCCGCCGGCCAGAGCCAGGCAGCACCCGCGGCCGCGCCGACTGGCAGCCGCCGCCGCCCGTAGCCTCGCCACGCGGGCCTGCAGGCGGGCGCAGGGCCGGGCCGGCGCCGCCGCGCCGCCGGCAGGGGAACAGGCGCGGGCAGGCCCAGCTCGCCGGAGTTGTGCGGGCTCCTCAGCACGCGCGTGTGGAGCCGGCCGGCGGCGGGGAGGGGGTTATAGCGCCGCCGCTGCGCCCCTCCCCCGCCCCCTCCCTATCGCCTCCCCCGGATTCCGGGCCCGGGACCCGCACCTCGGAAGCGCGCGGGGGCCGCACGGGCCGGGGAGGGCCCGGCCGCTGCTGCGAGCACACACACGCGATCACGCGGGCAGTGAAATCCATCCACGCCTCACACCCGGCTCCGAGCACAGCCGCCCCGCCGGGGCTCCGTGCGCCCCTCCCTGGAGCTTGCCCACCCTCCAGTGCCAGCCAGCTGCAGTCCTGCGGCACCGGACGGGCAGGGGAGGGGCCGCCGCAGAAGCCGACTCGCCTCTCGGGCCCCAGCGGCAGCAGAGGGCAGCGCCCAGAGCTGCGACGCCAAAAAGGGCAAAAGCAGGCCGGCCCCGGCCCCCGCCCCCGCCCCCCGCCGCGGCTCTCCGGCCTCTTTCCGCGGTCGGGATCCAGGGCCCCAGCCTCCCCCCTCTCCATAAAAGGAGGGGGAGTGAGGCTCTGGTGAGTGGTGGGGCGGGCTGAGCGGCGCTTCTGGGGCACTCACCTGGCGACTGCCACGCGCCTCCGCCCACGATACGATGCCTGGGGCGCCTGGACGAGGAACCTCCACCCCACATTGCGAGATAGGAGAGTGCCCGGGGGCCGCGGGGGGCTGCCTCCGCGCCCTGGGACCCTGCGCCCCCCGCGTGATCACTCCTTCGGGAAAAGACGGGTTTCGGCCTGAGCCAGTTCCTGGATGGGGTGGTAGGGAACGAAAAGAAAGGAGCCCCTGGGTGAGGAACTCCCGGAGTGTGAGCCTCAGGCTCCGGGACCCACGGGGCGCTCGGAGCGCCATCTCCCACCACGGCGCGACTCGGGGCGCGATGCGGAGGCAGGACCAGAGGCGAGCAGGAGGCCTGCGCGTGGCTGGACGGCTCCCCACCACGAAAGAGCGGGTACACCGCGTCTGGGTGGATTCCGCCCGCCTACACCAAGCGTGATAAGACCCCAGCGTCGGGCCCTGTGGCCCTCCGGTGTTCGGCCCTGGAGTGGGTGGACGAGTTCGTGGGGCCAGAGCTACAGCAGTAATGGGCCAAGCGACCCCAAAGCTAGAAGGCCGAGGCCCCTGGAGGCTAGAAAACGAACTCCACTGCCCTCCGCCACGGTAGCCTGAGGCAGAAAGTTCCGCCCCCCCAGCTCTCCAACCCAGGGGCACCCGCCAGACAAAGGCAGTGGAGGCGCACGCCCCACCGGCCCTGTTTCATCCTGGGCTGAGCGCCCTTGGCATTTCAAAGGCGGCGCCCATAGGGGCTTCAGGTCGCTTGCCTGCCCCGAGGTACCTGGGGGTGGGGAGCTCCTGCGATTCCCAGAGGACCTCGGTCTGCATGCCCCTTGCACAGCCCTTGACCACCTGCCATCTCCCGAAGTGGCAGCTACCCGAAGGCCCTTGGGGGTCAGGAGGGAGGACTGGGGAAAACTCGGAAACGTTTAGGAGCCCATGGAAGCCACTCCTTGAATGTCCAGGTGGAACCTTCTGTTGCTTCGGAGAGGGACCGCTGGAAGCTTCTGGAAGGCTGCCAGACACACACTGCCAGGACTGAGGCTGGAGCTGGGGGGAGCTGTGGCCTGCACCTGGGAGAGTGACTGCACCGTCTGGTTGAGCCTCGGATTCCTTGTGGGCAGGGAGGACCCAGGGACCTTTCTTTGGGGTTGAAGGACTCGGTTTGGTCACCTGTGTGGAAACAGGAGGAGCAGTCGCTGTGGTCCCGCCGCACTGGCCTCTGCAATAGACGACCCATCTCCTGGGGGTCCCGCTGCCTTTAAGCAGCCTGGCACTTCAGGGGGGCCCAGTTCCAGTGTGAGGCCAGCGGGAAGGTCTGGGGACACAGAAGGGGGCGCCAGGAGCAAGGGCGAGCCTGGTGCACCCCATCCCCGCCCGCACTGGAGAGCTGCGGGGTGAGCGTGGACCTCCCTCCCTCTAATCGCGGGCCGCTATTAAAAATAAAACCACGCCGCGTCGTCATAGCGACCACGACAACAGCGGCTGCGCGAGGGTGGCAAAAACTTATGCAGCCGCGCGACAGCCGCCCTGGGGGGACCCCAGGCGCCAGGGCGTTAGTAGCACCGAGGCCGCCCTGCGGTGGGACAGGGACCCCTGACGCAGCCCACCCCACCCTGCCCCTTCCTCAGAAGAAACTGGCAGAGGCGCTGTTAACGAGAACGGGAAATGGAGACCATTGGACTAACTGGACCAACAGGTCACCTACTTGGGTGAGAACCAACCACTCCTGCGGGAGCCGCTGGCCCGACCCTGAGGCCTCCGCAACACCCCGCCCACTCAGGCTCCAGCGCCCTCACTTCGGCCCCTGGAGGCGGGGCTGCGGAGTTGGCGGCAGTGGGACTCTTGGCCCAGAGGGGCCCTTCCCAGTGGCCTGGGGCCTGGCCCTGGCCCTCGGGGGCACCGCACCTGCCCAGGCCGCTGGGCGTTCCTGGCTGCTCAGGCGTGGTCACGTGCCGCCTTCTGCCCGGAATCCAGCTTCCCTTCCAGCGCTATTAGGTTCACACGGATTGCTGCAAACATTTGATAATGAGGCTAAATATACTGCAGGCCCAGGAGGCTCTGGCAGGGTTGCGGGCCTTGTGGGCGGGGACCCAGGCGCCCGGGGCTCCTGGGTTTTCGCCAGCAGGAAACCCCTGGCCGCAGGCAGGCGTCAGGGGAGGCCAAATGGAGGGCCCCTGGATGCAGAAGGGGCCACTGGGGCATCTCCAGGGTGGGGAGATGCTGGTGGGAGGTGAAGGTGCGCCAAGCCTCCAGGGAGGTCCAGTCACCTGCTGGAGCTGATGCTTCTGGGTGTCTCAGCCTTGCCCTAGGTGCCCATGGGCCCGTAATTAAGGTGAGTGAGTTGCTCCAAATAAGTGGAGAGAGGGGCCACCACACAGCTGAGGTGACTGGCTGAGCATCCGCTCCTGGTGCTCAAGGAGGGACCCAGTCCACTCCTCAGAGCCACGCAGGGCTGGAGGGAGGCAATGTGCCTTTGCGGAGGGCCGTCGCAGCCCAGCCCTTTGTGTGGTGAGCTGCTGGCGTTTGCCCTGAAACCCATTTCAGAGAAGGCTCCAGAACTGATGAGAGATGCCGCCCCAGGCAGGCGGCAGCTCCCATGCCCGCGACAGGCTCTGGTGAGGCACTGAGGGCCACTAGGGTGGCATCAGTCCTGTAGCTCACAGGCAGGAGCACAAAGGGAGGTGTGGCCACAGGCAGTCCTGCCAGGAGCCCTGGAGCCCAGGCCCACCTGACCCCAGTCCTGGGCAGCCAGGACACGGGGAGGGCCACACCCAGGCCTGGCTGCCCTCTGCACCTTGACTTTGTTGGTGTGTTTGTCCACAGACTGCCCGAATCTCGGTTTTCTCATCTGGAAAATGGGGGGCCAATAACCCTGCACGCAAGGCTGCCCCTCAGCAATGCACACGCTCATGTGCACAGGCTCGTACCCACGTGCACAGGGGCAGCACTTTTGTGACCCTGGGCAGAGCACAGCTGCCCCGCTGCTGGCACCTGGGTCGTACAGGTCCCAGCCAGCAGGGCATCCAAACCCAGGCCTGTGCTGGTGCCCAGCAGTTTGAGCACAATTTGTACTGATGAACTGACACAGCCTCCTTTACCTCCGGGCAAGGCTTTCCGGGCTCAGGGCAGTTAGCCCAGGAGCAGCCCCAGCGCGTGGGCTCTGCTCTCTGGAGATCAAACGTGTTGGGTGGGTGTTAATTAAGTCATCATCTCCAGGCGCCCCGGGCCCCCCACAACTAGGGATCAGGCCGCCCAGAAAGGAGAAGCCCGCCAGCAGGCAGGGAGGCCTTCTCAGAGTCAGTAACGCCCTAGTGAGTAACTTTCGCTCATTTTCCAAAGACACAAACAGAAACTGAATTTAAAATAGCCCACGATCGATCCAAACATTTTGTGAATGATAACCTACGTCACAGGTTGCCTGGCGGCCTCAAGAAACGAAGGCTGGCCCTGGCTGGTATAGCTCAGTGGATTGAGCGTGGGCCTGTGAACCAAACAACCAGGGTTCGATTCCCAGTCAGGGCACATGCCTGGGTTGCAGGCCAGTTCCCAGCAGGGGACCCACGAGAGGCAACCACACATTGGTATTTCTCTCCCTCTCTCCTTCCCTTCCCCTCTAAAGATAAATAAATAAAATCTTTAAAAAAAAGAAAAGAAATGAAGGCTAGACCTGGACAGCCCCGAGCAGGGGCCTCCAGCGGCAGCATTTTCAATGGGGCTTCTGTGGATTGGGCCTCAGCAAGCACGTAAAGAGCATGACATTTCTCATTGCTAATTTTTATAATAATCACATGTTGAAATAACTTTTAAAGGTTTTACTTATTTGTTTTTAGAGAGAGGGGAAGGGGAGTGGGAAACATCGATGTGTGGTTGACTCTTGTGTGCCCCCTACTGGGGACCTGGGCCACAACCCAGGCATGTGCCCTGACTGGGAATCGAACCTGTGACCCTTTGATTCACAGGCTGGCACTCAATCCACCGAGGCACGCCAGCCAAGGCTGCAATGATAACATTTTTTAAAATATTCTCTTAAATAAACAGTGCGATTGCAATTAATTTAACTTGTTTGTTTTTCCTTCATTTAATGTGGCTACTAGAAAACGTAACCTGCCCCGGGGCTCACATGATGTTTCAGGTGCCGGTGGAGACACCCTGAGTTCAGGGATGCCCAGTGGGGCCCCCGGGAGCAAGCAGGGGGTTGGGGCAGGCAGAGCTGCCCCCCAGAGAGGCAGCCGAGTCCTGTAGACCAGCAGGGCCAGGGGTCAGTCCCAGTGGCCCCCAGCCTCAGGGCTGGGCGACAAGAGCTGTGTGGCAGCTTGGAGCCTCGGTGTCCCCTGGGCTACCAGCTGGCACAGAAGGCAGTTTTCCAGCGAGGATGCCACGCCTGCTGCACCAGCCCCATCTGGGCCCAGGGTCTTCCAGGCTTGAGCTCAGCGGGTCTGGGTTCCGGTGCAGGGCTGCGGGCCATTTCTCTTCACTGGCCCAGGGTCGGTGCCGAGTCTGTGTGACTCCTCGATGAAACCCAGCCGCTGCTCCTGAGACAGGTATGTCCCAGCAGTACCTGAATTCCTGCTGCCGCCCCCGCTACCCTGGCCCGGGAGCTGGGAGGGAGGTGTTCCCCGAGCCCTTGTTGAGGGCCCTAGGGCGGGAGCCCCGCTGCAGCCCCTGCCTGTCGAGAAGAGACGCTCACTTCGCCCTCCCAGTCCACAGACTCAAGAGCTCCTTCTCACTGTGACCCGGGCCCCACACAAAGTGGCCCCAGGAAACAGACGGTGGCAGTTCCGTCACTGCCAGGCTCCAGAGTGAGCAGCTTCAGGCTCTGGAGTGAGTAGCTTCATGCAGCTGGATCCAGACGCAGCCCGGGCCCAGCCTGGTGGCTCAGTTGATCAGAGCTCACCTGATACGCCAATGTTGCAGATTTGAGCCCCTGTCAGGGCTCACATGCAAGACTCAACCAATGATGCATCAATAAGCGGTACAACAAATCGATGTCTTTCCCTCTCTGTAAAAGTCAATTAAAAAAAAAAGACACAGACCACGTCTCCAGGACCAGCTCTCAGCCTTCATCTCCCCGGTTCTCCCCAGGGAAGGCAGCAGCCCCCACCCAACACCCTCCTGGCCCCACACTGTTTGGAGCATCGAGGCCGCATGTCACAGGCCCCAGCTGGGGGCACCCAGGGCCAGGACTTGCTGGGTCCCCTCCACTTTGCCCTGCCGGCAGAGGAGACCATGGTGCCCCCTGGCCAGCACAGGGAAAGTGTGGGATTTCAGGGCTCACTCGGCCCTGAGTGGCCCTGGCAGGGTCCTGTCTTCTCGGGAACTGCCGCCTGCCCTTCCGGCCGACGGGGCTTGGGCCGCAGTCGGGGAACTTGCAAACCCTCACCGTCCTGTCCAGTCCTGTCTGGTCCTGTCCTGTCCCGTCCATGACTGCCGGGGCAGCACCCCCACCTGGGGCTGTTTTTCTCGACAGCAGGGAGCAAAGTGCTCAGATAATCTGATCCTTGTCCTTCCATGACCCTCCCTCAGGACATCTGTGGGGTGTGGGAGGCCTGCAGCCTCTCCGCAGCCAGGCAGCCCCTCTGTGGGGACAGGACAAGAGTGGCACACGGGTCCTTCAGGGTCCAGAGTACCTACTCGGTGTCAGAGGGGCGGGTCCACACAGGCAGGAAGGAGTCCAGGCCCAAGGCCCAGAGGACCGCCCAGGCGTGAGGACGGCTCCACCCCCTGCTCTGGTGCAGACTTTGGCAAGTGCCTCACCTCTCTTGAGCCTCAAAGAGGGTGAGGGACTGGCAGAGGGACACAGAGCCACAGCCCATGGGGACACTGCGGGGAACATGCTCAAGCAGAGCCTGGGGTAGCTGGAGTGCAGGCCAAGTGTCACCGTCCTCTCTGGACAGGGGCCAGGGTGGCGGCCCAGATGTTCGTGTGCACCGAGCCTGGCCTCCGCGGTGCTCTGACATCGAGGCCTCCACCTGCAGCACAGAGTGCCCCCCACCCCCACAGTCCCCACATGGCCCTCAGGTTGGGGACAGTCCCATGGGGTTGCCCTGGCCCCTGCCTCCAGCAGCCATTCACTTTCGAAGTGTGAGCTCGGCCCTCAGAGCCCTTGAGGGCAGCTCAGGTGAGCACATGCCCTGCACCTCCAGAAACCTGAAGAACACCACCGGGTATCAAAGCGCCCAGCGGTGGTCACACTGCGGTCATTTCTAGGCCTGCTGACCCAAAGTCTGCGTGTTTGTCACATGGAGCATCTGACTCGTCAACCGCAACTCGGCCAAGTCAGCCCAGACCCAGACCCAGACCCAGAGCACCCTGGCCCCGGGCTCATCCTCCAGCCGCTCAGACCAGCACCCCAGGGCCAACCCTGCAGCCAGGAGCCCTGGCTGACTCTCCTAACCCCCACCCATCCCCCAAACCCCACCCTGGCCCTGCCCTGATGAGTCCCATGCACCAGAAGATGCTGGATGGGCACCCCCGTAGGGGGGAAGCCAGAGCTTGGGTGGGGACAGGCCCGGCCAGCACCCTCCCTCTCCATGGGCTCCCGACACGGGGAAGCATTTTGCCAGCGAACAGGCTGTCGATGGGCGTGGGCCCCACCAGGCTCCTCGGACAGGGTCCATGGGGGCAGAAAGCAGGCGCAGCCGCTAGCCCAGGGATGCTCCCGGGGCAAAGGGCCGCCTGCTTTCACAGCCCTCCCGGCCGCGGAGGCGGTCTCAGGGTCCCGGGAGCCCAGGTGGCAGCAGCATGACAGCAGGGCCCTGGACGAGGGCCACTCAGCACTTGGAGGACCAGGCTCGACTCCAGGTTCTCTTTCTAGCATGTTCCACAGATGAGCCATGTAAGGACTAGGGACCTCGGTGTCAGCAGTGACAGCGAACTACCCGGAGACTAAAGGAGAAAAACCACAGCGAAGATGGGCAGCCCAGCAACAGCGGGCCAGTGTGTCGGGGGTGGCCCGGCTGAGTGGTTTCACCAGCAAGGCCCCTCACTATCCTGGCAGCCTCAGGACCTGCTGCCCAGGTGGCCGAGGGCCGGAGGCCTCACGGGTGCCTGTGTCCTTGCCACAGGCCCCTGGTTTCCTCAAGGACAGAGTCCGCACTGGCCTGTGCTCAGAAGTCCCTCCATCACCTCCACAGTACCCTCCTGGTCACCCAGATCAGCCCTGCTGCCCAGGGGGAACACAGCTGGGAGTGGGGTCGTTGGGGCCCATGGAGACCAGCTGCCCCCTTGACTCAGGGGTTCACCAGGGTTCGGCCCGCACACGGAGGAGCAGAGTGTCCTGTCAGGGCACAGTGGGAGGCCTGGCGCTGCCGTTTCCTCCGCCTCTCGGGAGAGGTGCCAGGGCCCGAAAACCCCTGGCCTCCAAGATGTGGCCCCCGAGGCCTGGGCCAGGCTGGGCCTGTTCAGTGAAGGGCACTTGTCTCTTCCCAGAGAGGGTGCTGGCTGGGGCGGGGGGCCTGACTTAACATTTCCTGCAGGTTACCTGCCTAAACCCCCACCCACCCAGCTCCCAGGACCACTCCCCCCTACCCCCCACCCCCCAACCCGCCTGCCCACCGCCAGCTCTGGGACCGAGGAGGGAGTTCCCTACACACCTGGCCTGGCTCCTCCCAAAAGAGGCAGAGTGAGAACTCACCTGCAGAAAGCAGCCTGTGGGGGCCCAGGCCCCACCATGCCCTGCACCCTCGAAGCCTCCGCTGCATCAGCTCAGGAAAGGGCAAGTCGCAGCAGCTCCCGGAACAGCACCTGGCACGCAGGGGACACGGGGACCGGGGCTTGTCAGTTCCACACAGCAAAGCCCGGCTGGCCCCACGCTGGGGCCAGGACGCCCAGGGTGGGTGCTGGAAACACCACTCCCGACCAACCAGAGGGAGCCCCTTCGGGGCCTATGAGGGCCTCGGAAGGCCAGCCCAGCCCAGCCCAGGCAGACCACTGGCGGGTCCCTGCGTTCCCACCTGCCTCACGGCCTGAGCTTCGACCCTGCCCTTGTCTGATGGGAAGGAAGCCAGGCCCCCCAAGGGCACCTCTGGGTCCAGGGGCCAAGGAGGAATCCGAGAAGGCTTCACGGAGGAGGTGGCATCTGAGCAGAGCCTTGAGGGTGGCAGGCAGCATGGGGCTCCCCAGGCCAGGAATTTTCCTTCCAGCGGCCCCGCCCGTCTTATCTGCCTCAGAGGGCAGCGGTCCCGGGGGGCCTTCCCGAGAAGGGCAGCTCAGCCCGGCTCACCCTCCCCACCCACCGGCTGCAGAGCTATGTCACCCGTCTGGAATGCACTTTCAATTCCTCCGCCTCCCCTCCCCCTCTGCCCTCCTCCACCTCCTCTCTTCCCTTCCTTCCCCTTTTCTTTCCCTCTGTCTTCATCTTCATCCCCCCCCCCCCCCCACACCAGCGCCAGCCCATCACTCCCACCTGCAGCCCCGGGGATTTCCAGGGCTCCCTGAACCGAGTGGGCGGGGCAGAAGGAGGAGGTGCCCTCAGCCAGGGGTGGGGTTTCCTCCAGAACCTCCCCCCAACCCCCACCCCCAGCCAGCAGGGGAGGCCAATCCCAGCATCACCTCCTGGCCGCTGGCCCAGAGCAGCTAGAGAGGCCCGCCCACTCCGCACCTCAGGGCCTGTTTTTCCAGCTTTGGGAAGTGGCTGGGCCAGGCCAGGTGCTGTCCCCACAGCCTCCTTGGAGGAGGGGGCACGGTCCTCCCCGCACCCGCCCATTCCTGTCTGGGGAGCATTCCATGGTTCCCCGAGTCCTTTCCACCTGCACCCCTCCTGCCTCCAGTGGGTCCCAGCTCGTGACCTCACTTTGCTTGGCTGTGGCCTCCACAAGAGGCTGGACCGGGTGTGGCCCATAGGTGTTGAGAGCAGGACAGAGTCCAGATGAGGCCGCCTCAGTCCCCCAGGGCAGCCCTGCCCCACCCCCTGCTGCTCCCAAGGTCGGTCTAGGGCCCAGAGCTGCCCTGGAGGTGGTCAGAGCCCCAGAGAGCTGCCTGTGACCCCCGACTGTTCAAAGCCAGCCCCACAGCCCTCCCTGCTCGGCTGCAGACTCAGCAGGCAGGCGGGCAGAGGGCCCCGTGGGCCTGAGTCTCTGTTGGCAACATAGGTGAAGGGCTGAACTTGGGGGAGAGGCTTGGGGGGGGGTGCCGGGAGCATTCCCAGGGGGTTATCCGCCCTCAGGAGAGGCCCGGGCCCCCACGTGTCCTTCCATCCCTGCCACCCTGGCCAGGGCCCCCCCACACCCGCCCCTGCCGAAGCAGGGACTCTGACCACACCACCTGAGTGCTGTCCCCTGCCCCACCAGGCGGCTCGGGGGGCACTGGGCTGATCAGTCTGGTTTCCCCAAGCCCTCCAACCCCACAGTGACTACTGGTGAAATGACCTGAGCCATCGTGAGTCCGTTCTAAGGGACCCAGGGCCGCTGTGCCCCTGGCCCCCTGTGCCCTCCCCAAATCTCAGCCAGGAAGTATAGCAGTAGCTGGGACGTGGCCTTGGGGACAGGTCTGAGTGGTGCGGCTGGCCCGCTGTGCCCGGCCTCCTAACCCAGCACTGGGCCAGCAGGTGGACAGCGTGGAGCCTGCTGTGTTGAGCCACCGTCCAGCTGACGAAGCCACCGCAGGGCACCACGGCCCGGCTCACCGCGCTGCCTCCCCACGCCGTGCGCCCGGTTTCCTCCCTGGGCCTCTGGGAGCCCGCTCTGCACAGTGGTGCCCTCTGTGGAGGAATCTGGCCAGCCCTCCTGCGTTTGATGACCAGTGACGGGCCAGGGGGGCAGGGTCAGCCAGGGTCCCAGCCAACCTCTGGCAGAGAAGGCCATGCCTAAGCAGAAACGGGGTACACTGACTTGCAGGGGGTGTGGGGTCCTTTGAGCCCGGTGCCCTAGCCAGGGTCTGACCCCCCTTCTCCGAGCTCCTCGTGTCTGACCTGGAAGACAGTTCCCGCGGGCTGTGGGTGGGTCCAGAGCTCGGTCAGTCTCAGCACATGGGGTGGGGGTGTATTGGGGGGGTGGCTGTGGAGAAGACCAGAAGGAAGCCGGGGGTGGGGCTGGGACATGCGGAGGTGGCAGGCAGAGTGAGCCAAGCAGCTGCCCTGGGTGAGGTGCCCACAGCTGGGATGGGGAGTGACCTTGGACAAAAGCCCCTGTCCAGCTCAGGCAGGGCTGACTCTGCCTGATGCCCCCGGCCCTGCCTCCGGACCGGCCCTCGGGCCTCCTCTCCTCAGACTAGAGTGTCCAAACCCCAGCGTCCAGGGTATGGCCACGGCCTCCCCCAGTCCCCACGGTCCATGACCACTAGCGTAGTCTCAGCCATCCTTACCCCTCCGGGCGGCCACCTGCACAAGGACAGCCGTGTGGGGACACCAGGGACAGACTGACATGCAGAACTCCCATGAGGATATCTAAATTCATGAACTCCCCATTAGGGTCTATTTTGAAAAAAGGGAAATACAGGTGTTCCCAGGAGTTTGGGCATGTGACCTGGGCTCCCTCCTCAGAAGCATCTGGAATGTGTAGGATTTGTTTTGAGGCCTCGGTGGTCTCAGCAAAAGGAAAACAGAACTTTCTTCTGACTCCGTGGCGTGGAGGAGTGACCGGGGAACCCTGAGGCCCCAGCTGGTGCTCCGGCCTGAGCTCTGGTGTCCCCGCTGTGACCTGGCGAAACACTGTGGTCCGTGCTCTCAGGTTCTGCACAGCTAAACGCCCACGAGGTTTTGTGCGGGTTCAGGGTCAACCACTGCATAAGCGTGTGAATCTTCACCGTGTGTGGAGTTGCAGGGACAGCTGTGCCCGGGCCGACAGGGGCCCTGTGTTCCTGCCAGAGCAGCTGGGGCCCGAGGGCCACGGCTCTGTGAGCCCTGCTGTCCGAGCCCCAGCGGAAGACCTGACACTGCTGGGCAGAGCCAGGTCCTGACCTCCAGGGTCCATAGTGGTCGCTTCGGCCTCCCCCTCCGCGGCGACCCTGAGAATTTACAAGCCACACCATCGGCGAGCTTGTGAGTATCAAGGACATGTCTGTCACTTCCACGTACCCGGGCGCCCTCTCACCTCACATCCTCAGAGGCAAAGGCAGGGGAAGGGATGTGTCACCAGCTGTCTTTCCTGAGGGCACTGCAGCCACCAGGGTGAGGGCAGGGAGGGGCCTGCCAGGCTGCCCTGCAGCCCAGAGGACGCGGACAGCCAGGCTCCCTGCCGGACGTGTTGGGGGAGGCGGAGGGCCGCGCGGTTCGAGCCGTCCTAAGGGCAGCGGCACACCTGCCCCAGGCCCCACTTGGACACCCACATTCCCGGCTCAGCTGGTGTCTGGAGGTGAGAGTGGTGTTCCCACCTCGCAGACAGGACAAGCCAGCCCAGAGAAGATGGGGAACTGATGCCACGGAGCTCACGGGAAACAGGACCAGGTTGTGCGGCTCGTGACGTGGTGAGGCCTGTGGCTCTGCATCCTAGAGGGCTGGCATGGTGACCTCACAGGAGGCCGGGGTGGGGGTGGGGTCAGGCCAAAATGCGGCCTCAGCAGGAAGGGGAAGTCTGGCCAGGGAGGTGGGAGCCACACGGCGGCCTGGAGGCAAATGTGGGAGTGGAAACCTGCAGACAGGTGTAGGAGGGGCCTCGGTCAGCCAGTCCCCAGGCAGAGGTTCTTAGGGCCCTGTGGCCCCCAGGCCCACCGGGGGTCTAGGGTCCCTGGGCCCAGGATGAGAAACCAAGCAAAGGTCCCCTGCCTGGGGAGCTCAAGTAGGAACCAGGCCAGGCGGCCCCTGGAGAGGGGCCAGCCCACCAGACAGGCGGCTGCAACAGAGAATTGAGTCACCAGCTTTCTGATCCTCAAGGTCCAAGAGCCGGGTGAGGTCAGCGCTATCAGGACACCGAGGCTTCCTGGAAGGGGGTGGGGACAAGCTGCTTCTGAGGAGCCCCAAGCAGATGCCAGGGCCCGTGGATCTGAGTCTTGGAGACCAGAGCCCCAGTGGAAGCCAAAAGAGGCTTTGGGAAGCAGGACCTGGGACCCCTAAGTCAGAGTGGGCCTCCTGGGCCAGGAGCAGCCCTCTCCAGGTGACCCCAGAGCCAGAGGGAAATGCCCAACCTCAGAGTGAATCAGTGCCCACCCTCGGGGTCAGCCGCCTCAGGCGGGTGCAATGAGCCCCGTACTGTCCGCTGCGAGGCCGACCTTGTAGGCCCAGCCGCCCAGCAGGGACTCAGTGTCACTGAACCACTGGTGGGACGCTCAGTGGCACACGCTCACAAGGCTGTCCCCTGCCACACCCGCCCCTTCCCAGGAGCAGCCTCGGGGTGGGGTGTCCACGCCAAGTCCCCCAGGGCAGCTGAGAGGCCTGGGGATGCTCAGGGACTCAGGCAGGACATGGGCTCCCTGTGGCCTGTCCGAATGTCCGCAGCCCCCACGACACCAAGGGTGGACTGGGCTCTGCATCCATTCCTTCCTGTGCCCCGGGCATGGCCCTGGGGCCCAAGATCGAGCAGGAACAATCGCCCGGATTGTGGGCTCAGCTCTGGCGCACACAGCACGCTTTCACGGGCCCACAAGATGGATCTGTGCCCGCCTGGCGCCAAAGGGGCCAGGCCCAGCTCCCAGCTGGGAGGGTGCTGCCGTGGCCCATGCCCCCTCCACCTAGAGCATCACACAGAGGCTTCCTGCAGCCGCCAGCCAGGCTCGGGGACCAGGGTGGGCCCTGCCCCCCAGCTCGGGGCACCCAAGGTGTCCAAGGGAGGCCTCAGCAGCAGCCCAGGGGTGCCCCTGGCCCCTTTGGGAAGGCTTCCTACGGCCAATGTAACCAAAGGCCACAACCTCAGCAGCGTGAAGCAGCACAGCTTGGAGGGCGGGATCTGAGTGGGTCCACGGGCTGTGTGTCTCCAGTGGCCCAGTTCCATCCCGAGTCTGCACAGGGACTGGCCACTGACCCCGGCCGGGCCCAGGCTTGCAGGGAGGCACGCCGGCCCCGTGGAGGGAGGCTTGGGCTGGGCGGCAGGTGGCAACCCACCTCCAGTTTCTCCTCTGTGACCAGGTCCCACCTGGGACGGTGGGGTGTCCCCCATGTCACGGCCTCAGGGCGCACCCGGGCTCTTCCTCCCAGCACGAGCCACTGGGCAGGGGGCAAGAGGTCCAGAGGCAAGAGCAACGGCCTCAAGGGCTGTCCCCGACACCCTCCTTCCGGGGGCACATGGTCATTCTGTCTTCCTGCACATGGGCTGCTCTTGGCGCTGGTTTCCGATGAGGAGTGGGTGATGGTAGAGGCATCCTAGGACTGGGTCCCAAGGCCCCTACAGTTGTTCCCACCCACTCTCCGAGAGAAGCCAGACGCCACGTTGTGCAGAAGTCCCAGGAAAGGCCACGTGCTGAGGGGCTGAGGCCCCCCACCAATAGCCCCGGGGGCCACAGGGCAACAGGGCCTCCAGCCCCAGGCCAGCCTCCAGAGGCCCCTGAGCCTGGACCCCTGGCTGCCTGTTCCCGAGCTCCCAACTCCCAGCATGGAGAGACGGTCAGTGTGGGGCAGCCGGGGAACTGCACAGGACTTCAATGCTCAGCACCGAGACACGCACAGAATCGTGAACAACATTTATACTGGGAGGTTGGAATGAGCGTGTTTTGGATAGACTGGGCTAAGTAAAATACATTAAAACGAGTTTCCGCACAGGCACAGGCAGGAGGCGGGAGTGCCAGGGGCTGGAGGCGGCAGGCTTCATGGGGACAGAGGCTCGTCTGGGGGGACGGTGAGCTCCAGACAAGAGCAGTGGTGACAGCCCCACAGCAGGGTCCTCATGCTCTGTGCCCACGACCTGGACACTTAAAAGCAGCTGAGGCGGGGAACTTCCTGTCGGGGGTATTCACCGCAATAAAAACAGGGAAAAGTGTGTTCTCCGAGTGGTGAGAGAACACACCCGGGTCGGCGGGGGGAGCTCGCCGCACACTTCGAGGCCATGCAGCACAGGACATTTCGGCAAATACGGCGTCACACCGCACGGCCAATGCCCAGAGGCACGCAGGCAGGAGCCAAGGTGGGCTCACGGCAGGATGTCAGCTCTGCTTCGGTCACCAGAAGCCACCAGGTGGCCTGCGCTGGCATGGCCAGGCCTGTGTGGATTGAAGATGCGTTTGGGGGGTTGACTCAGGTGTGGGGGGTCCTGGGGACTGGAGTTCCGATGGCAACCGGCACAGGGCGAGGCCTCCTGTCTTACTTTGGTTCTGACAACTCTGTCCAAAGAGAGTTTGGGGGACCCTCCCCTCCTTCGCAAGGTCTCCCAGAAGCTGCTTTGCAACTCGGGACAAGCAGATGTCCCTTGGGGCCCCCAACACCGAGAACAGCACTCGCTTGTCAGGGAAACCATCTGGGCGTCCCTGCCCAGCAAGCAGCCCAGTGGGCTCGGACTGTCTGGCAAAGTGGCCAGTGTCCCAGACCAGCTGACACGGGCTGCCCAGGACAGGCGTCACCTCCACCCACAAGACTGCCCTGTGGGGCCACCTGCGGCTTCTACAGGACCCGCTCTCTGGCTTCAGCCTCAACTTCCCGCTGGAAGCCCTCGGGCCTGTGGGACACCCCCTTGGACATCATTGTCCCATATCAGGGTCCAGAACCGGTCACTTGGGCCCCTGGAGAGGCGGGTGATCAGAGAGGCCGTGGCCCCAGCAGGACTGAGCCCGCCCACATGGGGCCACCTGGACCACTGCAGCCTGGCCCCTTGGCCACAGTGGGTGAGCACACTTCTGCGTCCCCCAGGAGATGAGAGAGGGAATGGGGGACCCTAAGATGAACCCACAAAGCACGGGGAGACGGGAGGTGCATGGGGAGGGGCAGCTGGCACTGCCTCGGCCTGGGGTGCGCCTGGTTTGCCCCTGTTTGTAAAATGCACAGGTGACTATTTTATTCCACGTGTGAGTTCGGAGGGAGGGCAGTCCCCACGCTGCTGGGACGCCCTGGCCCTCAGCCCCAGACACAGATGAGCGACCAACGGGTGGTGGGCGGCGGGCAGCGGCAGCTCAGACGGTGAGGGAGATGAAGCTGTTGTAACGCTGGATGTTCCGCTTGAGGATCTCAGAGCAGGGCCCCAGCACACGCTCAAAGCGCGGCCGGTCCAGCTTCACGCACTTGAGGGGGCCCCGGGCCACCACAGTGGCCGCCCGGGGCCTGTTCAGGAGCAGCGCGATCTCCCCTGGGGACGAGAGAGGGTCACATCAGTCACCCCACCTGGGGGAAGGGCTCTCAGATTTGGGGAATGCAACCAAAACCCCAGGACGATCGGTTGCTTTTGATTCCAATCAAGCGAGACACGTTCCGTGCCCCACAGAGTTTGGGGCCTTGGGCACTGACCGTCATTCCCCGGCCATCTGATGTTCAGCATGCAGCCTGGCCAGCCTGGGGCAGGTCCTGTGCTCCAGGGGCAGCCCACCGCCCAGACGGTGCCAGGTGGGGCTGCCTCCCCGGGGCCCCCTGACGCCCCTATCTCGGTGTCTTCCCAGGGCCCCCCTGCACTCGGGAGGGCCCCACTCACCGAAGTAGTCAGAGGGCCCAAGGCGCCCGACCTCCATGTACTCCTCGTTCGGGGACCTGCGCTGGAGGACCGAGGCTGTGCCCTGTGGACGTTGAGGGGATGTGGGAGGGTCACGTGGGGTGGGCTCCCCACCCCCGCCAGCAGCCCCCCACAGATGAATTCCATTTTCCTCCTCGTGGACAGAGGGTGTGGGGTCTGAGCCGGGTCTGCCGGGGCGCCTTCTGGAGACCCATCCTCCCGGGAACGTGGGCCGGAAGGTCTGTGCGCAGCTCCCAGCCGACCCTTGCCAACTCCCAAGGAGGGCAAGCATGTCACACCAGGCACACGGTCTCAGGGTCACTAACTCGCAGCGTGATGCGGCCCCTCCCCGACCCCAGCAGAGCAGTGCCTGCAACCTCTTCAGGTTCAATGATTAACACGAGGCTTTGGGGGTGAGGCAGAGCCCAGGGAGTGTGACTCTGAAAGCCTCTGCCCTCGGGGGCGGAAGGGGGGTGGCAGCCTGGGGCCCGATAGTCCCAGGTGGGGACACTGGCGTGGCAGGTGTGGTTCTGAGCCGGGTCCCTGGCCTGCCATGTAAGCAAGTAAGTGGGGCCGAGCCCGAGACCGCCTGTCCCCCGTAACCAGGAACAGGCCTCGGTGGAGCCGGAGGGCGAGCCTCTTGCACGGCCCAGTGCACGAGGTGTCTCACCAGGAGCGGCCCCCCGACCGGCTGGTCTTAAACTGCCCCCTGGTTTAACTCCATCCACCCAGCGGGTCACAGCCCCCTTCATCCTGCCTTCCCGGGTGCCACATGCCCTGAGGACACTGAGCAGCTGAGGCACGTCCTGCCCCCGTGCAGCAGCGGCGAAGGTGACTTGGCACCCGGGGGGCCCAGTGCGCCGGGCTCAGCCCACACGGCTGGCCACGCCTGGTTAATGTGTTACACCGGCTGCGCCGCGGTCTGGGAGACGGCAGGTCAGGGGCTCCTGTGGTGCCGCTGTGCCTGGACACCCTCGGCCGGTCCTGCTCTCGGCATTGGCGAGTTTATGACACCGGCGGGCGGATGGAGCAGGACGGGTAAACTGCCGTCCGCACGGAGTGGAACGCTGCCACAGAGACGAGCGGCCCCAGAGAGGAACGGGGCCCCGGCCCCACCGGCCAGGACAGCCTCTGCGCCACTGCCAGGGTCTGGCACCTGCACAGGCGCCGGGCACAGTCCCGGCTCAGGGCCACCTGGGGGCGGCGGCTGGGGACCCCACCATAGATGAAACATGGTGGGCCCCCTGTAGATGAAACGTGGGGTGACAGACAGCGTGTGGTGGACCTCAGGCCCTGCACCTTCTATTCCTGACACAGGGACACTGGCCTTCCAACCCACCTCAGACCGGCGTCCGTTCCGCCCTGGACCGCACTCACCTCTGAGAGTCAGGCGCGCCCAGGGCTCTGCGCTGAGGCAGCATCAGTGCCCCCCACGGCGGCAACACTGGCCCGAGGTGGGCAAAGGTGAAAGCTGGCCACCCGCCCACTTGCCACGGGGTGTCTGGTAACAGAGCCCGTGACGGAGGGGCCACACGGGGCAGGGCCACCACCCATGGGCCCACAACATACTTCACGAGTGTCCAGAGCCTCGTCCAGGCAGTTCTTTGTTACACCTTGAAGGGTGTCCGGCCAACGGACAAACCAGCCCCATAGGGCACCCTATCTAGTGACCGCTCCACCCCTGGACCTCAGCCCGAGACGCCAAGCCAGCCGGCGAGGAGGAGGAGAGCGGGCAGACGGGCCGGGGGGCGGGGCTCCCACGGCACCGCCAAGGTTCCCACGGCCCGGAGACAGGCGTGGCCAGCACGGGCCTCGGAGCTGCAGGTCCTGGAAGTGGGCCGTCCCAGCCACGTTTCCCAGACGTCCTCAGGGGACGTGAGCTGGAATTTTTGGGGCTGAAAAAGTACATTTGCCAAAATTGTAGTTCATATTCCCCAAATTTCTCAGCCATTGATTCTAACTCAGCTCTAAAAATAGACCAGGTCACAGACCTGAGGTCACAGACCGGAGGATGAAGGAGGGAGAACTTCCTGCCTTGCTCTGGGGGGCGGAGGGTACAGGACCTGTTTTCCTGTCCACTTTCTGATTTTTAAACATTTTCCTGCAAAATCAGAGACAAAAGCGACGTTCTAGAAGGGCAGGTCTCTGACAAGAACAAAAAAACATTCAGGCCGAGGTGGACACAGCCCGTGGGAGTAAGGACGCAGAGCCTCCCTTGGGCCCTCTGGCCTGCACGGCGGAGGCTCTGGGCTTGGGGCACCAGGGGGCCCCCCAGGACTCACGGCAGACGGGGCTCCGGGACAGCGTCCATCAGCTGCACCGAACATCACAGCCCAGAGCGAGGGTCGGGGCTGCGGTCTGCGTGCTGACAGGGCCTGGGGTGGAGGGGCTGGGATACCCGGGCACACACATGCTCCTCCTGCTCACGGGAGGTCACGGGAGGCCACGGGACAGGGGCGCTGGTTCAGGCAAACGCACGTTAAGAGAACAGCGTCAGAGCCTCAGAGAGAAGCGGCAACACTCCCGTAACCTGAACGGCGACTGGAAAGGCGACCACCAGCACGCTGTTCCCTCTGGCCAACGTGGGCTTGGGACGCTCAGACGTCACGGCAGGGTCCCGCGTGCTGTGGGGACATGTGCTTTGCCCGTGTCTTCCTGTATTTAAGCAGGAACAGGTCCTAGGGGCACATGGGCCCATGTGCGCAGGCCACATGCCCTCACACCACACATGCAGCATTCACACGCACGTGCACACCGCACAGTCCGTGTCTGTGTGCCCCCGGGCAGCCCTGGGACCCCCAACCGGAGGAGCCCCACACCCACATTTCTCAGGCAGCAAGCGCGGTGACAAAAGCCACGTCCTCCCCCCGGGAGGCACTTCCGCAGCCTCACTGACGGCTGAGTCCCTGCAAGTCCGAGCTGCGCCCCCACCTGCCCGCCTGCCTGGGGCCCCGCAGGCCTGCTCTCAGGGCAACGGGAGCCCCCGCCCGCCTCTGCTGTGCACGTCCGTCACACACTCCGGGCCGCACACCGTCGTCAAAACAACTGTGAAAACACACTGGCCTGGTGAGCGGCCGAGGTCGCTTTCGTGCCAGTGTTTAATGGGTAAGCCATGGGGCCGGGGCCTTGGCTCGGGGACAAGCCGGCGGCTTCCGTGGGAAAACAACACAGGCGTGCAGGTCTGGCGCCGGTGCAGAGGCAGGAACAGGTGGTGCCCACTGGTGGGGGTCCCCGCTGCACACCTGTGGCGTCTGGTGCTCCGAGGCAGGCGGTGCCCCCCAGGGGATGTCACAGGGACACCCAGGGAGCAGGGCCAGTGCTCCCCCTTGGTGACATAAGGAGAGTGGTCCAGGGCACTGGCCGGCCTGTCCCGTCCCTCAGACCCAATGGGGGTCGGGTGGCCACAGGTGCAGCCACTTCTGCTTGCCCCCTCCCTGGGGCCCTGGGACAGAGGCCCGCGGCCACTCAGGGCATTCGGCTGCCTGGGGGTCCTCTGCTTCTGCTCAGGGTGAGTCTGCATGGGAGGTGGAAGCATCACCCCACCGGCAGCAGCTGAGCAACACGTGAGAGGCACCCACAGACAGCAGGGTGCGGATTCTTATCTCGTCCGTTTAAAGCCGGTCACCTCAGGAGTTTCTAGACTCCGCAGGACAAGGCAGGAGAATGTCTGGGGCCTGGAGCCAACCTCGGTCCCAGCCAGCTGGGTGGCTGAGCATGCGGCCCATGGCTTCTCCTGGCCTCGGTTTCCCCACTGGGGCTGACTTCCCAGACTCTGGCCAGACTCAGGGGAGGTGCCAGGGGCGTGAGGGCCCCCACCTGTAGACTCGCCCAGAACTGAGCACCTGTTAGGGTTCCCAGACAAACTTCGGATCCGTGGTGACAGCCTCTGGCTGCTGCACAGCTGGCCTCCGGAGGAGCCCAGGGCCCAGGGGGATGGCGGTCCCGAAAACACACCCCACACCTGTCCCTCGAGGCCATTTGCACCGCCCTGGGCGATGACTCCAGGGGGAGATGACCGGAGCCAGTGACCGTGGACCCAGGCCTGGATCCTCCGGCCGGTCAGGGAGAGGGGGGGGGCATGAGGAAGACAGTGCCTTCCTCCTTGGGGGAACACGCTGAACCTTCATGTGTTTACGTTCGTAAAAATGTAAGAAGTGGAGGTGCCTTGGTCTGCTCAGAGACAGTCGGGGGCGGGGAGAGAGAGGGCGGCGCGGAGATGCGGCACAGGGCGGACACCTCACAGGGCGGACACGCATCGAGCTGCACCTCTGTCCAAACCCACAGCAGGTCCAGCACCCGCAGACCCTCGTGTGCACAGTGGACTCAGAGGGATGCCGGTGACAGGGTCACACACACACCTTCTGGGGGCGCTGACGGAGGGGGGGAGCCATGCCTATGGTGACGAGGAAACCTCTGTTTTTGCCCCTCGATTTTTCAGTGACCCAAAACTGCCCTAAAAATAGTCTTAAAGAAAAGAGCCCGGTGAGACCCTGAGCTCTCCCATTTCGGGAACCCGGGGCCCCCAAGCCAGCCAACGCCTGCCACCGAGGGCCACCTGCCCAGCCAGGCTGTCTGGAAGAGGGCTTCCTCCAGCTCGGCCTGGACGGAGAGGTTTCATTTTTTAGCTGATAGGCTGGGCCGAGAAGGGGGCCGTCGGCTCCGACCTCAGCCAGGGAGCCACGCTCTGCCCCCGCCACCCAGATGTGCCTCTGACAGGTGGGCAGGCGGGTTCCGAGCCCAGGCCCATCCTGTACAGACACCAACCAGCGAGCATCGGGGAGCACGTATCCACATGCTGGTCCTGAAGCGCAAGGCACAGGGGCGCCACTGGCCCCCTGCCTGTGTCTGTGCCCCTATGGACAGTGCCCACACCCACCACACCTGGGCACCGTGCCACCCCCTGATGCCTGCTCACACCGTTCCTGAGGGTCGACGGTCCCTGTCCCCTCCTCGGGCCTCTCTCTGTGCGGGACCCCAGCCAGTCTCTGACAGCTGGACGACTGCCCTCCTCTGCAGACAAACGGCCCACTGGCTGCCCGGGCCCCGCCCAGCGGCAGTCGGCTGCACAGTGGGGGTGCAGCCGGTGCCCAAGGGGGCCAGGGTCTCCGGCCCACATGCCCCATGACGAGGGTGAATTCCTGGCTCGTCCCCTTCAGACACGAGGGGCAGTCTGCAGCGGTGGACACGCACAGCGTCCACAGGCTGGCAGGGCACATCTGATCCAGCATTTCCATGGCAACGCCTCCAGGGCACAGCTAGTGTGAGAGCAGCGGAATTTCACTCCCGGGATTTTATGGGAACCGGCGGGTGGGGTCCAGCTGCCCCCAGGCTGCACAGAGGTTCCCAAGGGCCAAGAACAGGGAGAACACAGCAAGGGGAGGCTGCATGGTAGGCGGGTGCCCACCCCCAACCACTACGCCCCTCCTCCGAAGGTCCCCTGCAGAGCACAGCCAACCGGCCACTCTGACAGGGTCTGCAGCAGTTGGGCAGTCTGCCTGCCTCCCAGAGCCAGCACCTTCCCGACGCCTTCTGTCCCCTTTCCGCCAGGACCCGACTGCCTCTCTCCTGGGGGAGGCCAGCCAAGCATCCCACCAGGGGCAGCCAGCCACCCCTGCAGGCCCCACTAGGGCTCCATGCTCTCGGGCCTCCACGCACTGCCCAGCCTCCGGTCGCCAGAAGGGGTGCTGACCACAGCCCAGGCCACCTCCGGCCCACGGGCGGCTGCAGGTCAAGCCTCACAAGTGATGGACGCCGGGGCGTCTGCGGGGCTGTTGTGAATCCTCCACTCGCTGCTTCAAGGAAGAGAGGACAGTGGCACCAAACCTGCCAGTCAGGGGGTGCCCCAGCCTACACCCCGTAGCCCCGCTCCTCACGGAGGCCTCCGACCCTGCCCACAGAGAGGCCAAACGGCCTCCCCAGCCGGTGTGGCTGCAGCCGGCCTGTCCCGGAGGAGCCAAGACTCTCCAGAGAAACAGGAAACCGGGTGTGTCCACAGCTGTGCGTGTGAGGACACGGCTGGTGGGCCTCTGCTCCAGGCGGTGATCAGGGTGGACCCCGAGGCCCATGGTGGGGACGTCCCTTCGCCCGGTGATCCGTCCAGGCCCTCCACACGCATTTCTGATGATTTCATCACGGCCTTGGACGCCTCGGGGGCTGCGTCCCCAGAAGACAACAGGCGACTGCCGGAGTGGAGCCTGCGGCCCACCCCTCGGCTCCCAGACCACTAGCACTGGGCCGCAGGGCTGGCGTGGGCCAGGGGGCTGCCACCTCTCAGGCCCCACAGGGTGTGGCCAGGCAGGGACACAGTCCAAGTGGCCAGGTAGCACATTTCAAAACAGAAGAGATCAGATTTTTATGAGAAATGTCCTGATTTTTAGATATTGGCAGTTTATTCGCTCGCACACGGAAAACACGAGTGTGTAAGCAGGTGCACACTACACACCCCGTGGGTGACTCGCAGCTCTTCCCGCCCTCGAGGACAGAGCCTTGAGCTGTGACGCCGTGTGACCCAGGGGCGGCCCCACAGTCCGCCTCCCCACTCGTCCCCACTCCTGCTCCGAGGGGCTGCTCCCGGGGGACCTGGCTGGGATGCAGCCCTGGGGGTGGAGGGGGCACACTGACCATGAACAACAGCTGCTTGCCCTGATCAGTGACAGGCACTGTGAGGCCACCGCAGATGACAGCCCCAGAGCCACCTGTCGCCGGCCCTGGGCGGGGGTTCACAGATGGGAAAAGTGAGTCAGGCATCTTCAGTGAGGAACCCTGGCTCCAGTTTCTAAAATTAAACTTTCAACCTGAGATAGTTCCAGACGACACACGGTTGTGAGAAATGACGCGGTGTGATCCCTCGGGGCCGAGTTGCACCCAGATTCTGACCAGGGACAGGACTGCAGCCAGAGCCCCGCCCTCCTGCGTCAGGTCCTGGCCACCCGTGGGGGTGGGGACACCCTGTCTTTGGAGGAGGCCCCTGGGCTTGCTCCCGAAGACCACCGGTGTGGGAGTGTGTGCCCCAGCTGGCTGAGGAGGACAAGGTGTGGGCTGGGGGGTGGCAGACGGCCCACCTGAGTCACACGCCCAGGCCCCGGGCGCCCCGGCCGGACTCACCTCCGTGATGATGAAGAAGTCGTCCCCCGGCTCCCCCTGCACCACGATCTTCTCCCCGTCCTCAAACTGGGCCGGCTCCAGGGCGTCCGCCACCGTCAGGCACTCCCACTTCTCCAGGGACTCTGGGGTGGGGGACAGGGGCACGTCACCCTGGTGTCATCACAGGGACCGCCCCAGCCCACAGCTGCAGCGGGGTTCATCGGACGGAAGGACACACAGAAGGAGGGTTTCTGGGCCGGGAGGGCCCAGGGCGCCTGCGGACACCCTCGGCATCAGCACGGGGCTGTCCTCCCTGGGCCCGGGTCCGAGTGGGAAAGCACTTCTCTCACGCTCCGATGACCAGAGCCGCTTGGGCTTTGTGACGATGATAAGAGTTCACAGGGAGCCCTGGGGCCATGCAGGTTTGGAACCACTCAGAGTGGCCGAAGCTGCTGCCCACTCGAAAGAAACACTGCGGCTCCTCACTCCGCGGGCTCGGCGGCAGCTCGCAGGCCCCGTGGGCTTCCCTCACTTGTGGTCAGAGTACTGGACTCCAAAGCCAAGTCCAGCTTTAATGCTCGCAAACCCGCTGACGTTCCGTCCCTTCCCACTAACACCCGTCCGTCACCCTCGGGCAGGGAAAACACCAACGTGCCTCTTCTCAAAGAACACGCGATGGCCTGATTCGCTTTATTAACTATTTTTTGGCGAGAGAAGCTCCCCTGGCCTGTGCTTACCAGATGCTACGTATGTAGGTCAGCAGCTAAAAATACGAGGCCGAGCCTTTATTTTCGATCTGGGCTGCGAGCAGGGGCTTCTCTGCTCAGACCTCCTGGCGGGGCTGCTGGCTGCCAAGGCCCCGCTGCCAACCCGCTTCGGGGAGGGCGTGGGAGCCCTGGCCGGCCCAGCACCTCGAGGACACAGGCACACAGTAGGTCTGCACCTTGGCCAGGCGGCAGCGGCGGCTGCATGCACTTCCCTGTTACTAGAAACCTGCTGCAGTGAGTGTCCCATGGGTCCCTCGAGCCCACGTGACACCCTCTGGGAAGGTCAAGAACCTGCAGTGTGGAGTCGGCCACGCCCCTGTGGCCCCAAACTCAGGGCTGCGGTTTCTTGGCCCTTGATCCGTGTCCTTCGCCCTGTTGCTTTCTCTGTGGCCTCTGTTCCCAAGCTGCTGACTTGCTGCTCAATAAACCCTCCGTGGCGATCTATTTTCTGTTTCCCTGGATGTGCCCTCTTCCTGCCTGGGCTCTGGTCCCAGCTGGATGTGGGGGCAGATGGGGCTCAGCTGCTGCTGCCCTCACGACCAGCCCTGTGTCCGGACCAGCTCCCTGCTCCTGGTCCTGGACCGGACAGGTGCCTAAGCCGCGCATCTGCCCAGCGGGCCCCGCCCCCACCCCAGTGGTTCCTGGCTGTTTCTTGTTTCTCGCACTATGTTCTTAGGGGACATGCCTCACGCACAGCCCAACCTGGGGTTGCTCAGGCTGGGGCACTGCAGGGGTGCCGCCGGGTGGTTCCCCCCAGGGTTCCTGGGGCCGCCAACTCAGCCGTCACTGACCTGCCCTCCCGTGGACCAGAGCTGCCCTGTGCACAACAGCAGCTACTACCACCCTTGCTCACTCACTTCAGTTCATCGGATGAATGAACTCTCAGCCCCCAAGTGCAGCCAGAGAGGCAGCACGGCCACCTCCACCAACGCCCCACTGGACAGGCCCCAAAGCCCCCACATCAGCAGGAATATGTTTACCAGACCCCAGGACGGGCAAGCGTCCTGGTGGGGCGGCAGCAGGAGCCGCCAGACCTGGGGGGACAGCCCGCCTGCCCGGGGACCGAGCCCTGTATGGCCACCAGCCCCGTTACTGGGAAGCCCCAGCTTCCGCTCAGACAAGGGCGCCGCTGGCGCAGAGCCAGGCGGACAAGGAAACACGGCCAAGAGCACGGGTGGTGTGGGGCCAGAAACAGCAGTGTGTGTCCATGCACACAGGCAAATGAGTGTTCACACGCATGTGTGGGCATGTATGTGGCTGCAGCGTGCATGTCCCCCCGCCCCGTGCCCGGGTGCCCAGACTGACCCAGGATGGAGACCTTGCTGAGGAACTCCTCATACATCTTGCGCTTCCGCAGCGTGCTGCCCTGCAGGGAGAGAGGAAGACAGTGAGGCAGGCGCGTCCCTGTCCCCCCAGGGACAACAAGCTCATCAAAGGACACCCATGAGCGGGCCACGTCCCGCTGGCCGCTCCGGTGCCCAGAGTCCAGTGCGCTGCTGCCGGTTCCCATGCCCCGCGCCTGGTCCCCCAGACAGAGCACCATGGAGCCGTCTGAGCAGCCCCCCGCAACCCCACAGGACTGTTGGCCCAGTCTGGCCACAGAGACAGCAACTGTGATGGTGGGCAATCTGAGCACATCTGTAAGGGCCCCCCACACTCCCTCCTGCTGGCTGGGACTAGGAGATGGTGGATGGATCCCTTGCAGCCGGCCTGGGCCTTTGTGAACAGAGGTGTGAGGTGAGTGAGGCTGGTTCTCCAGCCTCACAGAACCCCCCGCCCCTCAATGGGCCCCAGGACAGACCTTCCAGTGTTCTGGAACTGACAGGTGTGATGTGGTTTAGGCCACGTTTTAAGTTTTCTCACACCCAGTGTGGCAGCCAGCCTCAGCCTCTGCCCCTCAACCCCCTTCCTGGGAGTGGGGACCAGGGCTAACCAGCTCCCTAAGGGCATAGTGAAGAGGGCCTGTCTGAGACTCCTGGAGCTGTACAGGGAAGGATGTCGTGGCTTTGGCCTTGGCTGCTATCCGATGGCTCCACCCCCAGCAGGTCTGCAGAGCAGCTACAGCACCTCGGGCCCAGCACCAGCACCTACCGGTGAGCCACCGCACAAGCAGCCCCCCACCCCATCAGGCTTGCAGACCACACAGCCCCGGAAGTCCCCACACTGGGCCACCTGCGGCACTGCTTCCTTTGTGGCCCGAAAAACTGTGTTCAACAAAAGTTCTGCCGCTGTCACAGGCCACTCCATTGCAGGGCTTCGTGACTCACCCACCGCTGACACCTGCAGCCAACCCTAATGGCAGTGGGTGCAGAGTCCCCGGCAGGGAGCAGACACAGCGCCCGGCCATCCCCTCAGCCCCAGGCCACTGACTGGACTGGGATACACACGCATCACGGGGCAGGAGAGGGTGGCCAGGGAGAGAAACGGGGAAAGGGCTCAAGAACAAGGGCCAGACAGGCAGCACGTGGCACAGGCTGCCGGTCCCCAGACAACTATGACAAAAATGCGCCAGCAATGGTGAGTGGGCAGGGAGGTCAGCACCCAGCACCAGGGGGTTTTCCACGGCTGTCTGCTCTGCACTGCAGGGCACTGAGGCCGACCCTCCTCGTGGGTCACCTGCTGGGTGCAGACTGTGCCTAGTGCCTCCACCCCCACACGCCTCCCACGTGCCCCTCAACACAGGAGCCGCATCCACACAGGAGGGAGGGCTGAGCCCTCCAAGGCACAGGCCCCAAGGATGTTGCCGCCCCTGCCTCCCGAGCACACGTCCCAGGGTCTGGCATGGAGGCCATGCAGGCTGCCCGGCTGAGAGAGATGGGTGCTTGTCCAGCTGGACAGTGAGGTGTGGGGGTGCCGCCTGTGTCCCTGAGCCTCAGGGTACACACCCCAGACCCCCCACTGCTGCTGAGGATGGGGGCTCAACCACCGTGTCCTGTGCTATTGGTGGTGGTGATGAAGGTGGTGGTGATGGTGATGATGATGGTGATGATGGTGGTGATGGTGATGACAATGGTGATGATGATGGTAATGATGAAGAAAGACTACGAGAGACTCCGCACACTCTAATTCCAGCCGCAGGCTGCCCGTGACCCTGGACCAGTCTCGCCCTGTCTGAGCTTCAGTTTCTTCTCCATCAGGAGGTTGAGCGTCTGGCTCCACATTCTCTGTGTCTTTGATCTGGGCTCCTCCCTCCCTCTGGGCTCTGCCTGGAAGGTTCTTTGTCTGATTCCCACTGAGAGGCGGGGACGCCAGCCCCAGAACAGCCTGCCCGCTGTCCGATGGTGCCAGAGGACTGTGCAGACAGGCGCTCACCGCATGTCCGTGCTCGGGGGACCTGTCCCTGGGAGAAGTGGACAGAGGAAGCACCCCGCCCCCCACTGTTGCTACCAGATGGAGCTGCCTCCTGGGTCAGCTGCTCTCTACCCCTCCAGATCTTCCCGGGGGTGCATTGGAGAGGGGTCACAGCCTGCTCATACCACTGGGCTGCTGAGTGGTGGGTTCAGGACTGAAACAAGACAGCCCTGACCCAGAATCGAGGCCCACGCTCAGAGCTCCACACTGCCGGGCAGGCCTCACCACCCCCGCTGCAGAGGGCCCCGCGCGAGGCCTGCCCACTGCCCCTCGTGGGGGACCAACCTGCCAGCCTCACTCGACTGGGACAGTGAGACTCGGCCCAGCCACCTCAGACCCCTGCTGCTCAGAGAAAAGGCATTTCTTCTAAAAATAATTTATAGTTCACACAGACGGCAGAAGTGATGCCCACTCGGGGGAATGCAGGCACGTCCACTTGGGGCCGAGACCCGAAAGCCCCAAGTTGGCAAACTCAAATCGCTGGCGAACACCTCTGGGCCCCAGTGCTTCTCCCTCATGGCGACAGCCTAGACCGGCGAGGGGACCCTTCTGCAGCTCCCGTGGCGGCGGGTCCCCGAGTCCCGTCTGGGGCATCGCCGTGGACTCTGGGCATCGCCCCAGGGGGCAAAGGGGATGAGAAGAGTCAACCTACCCTGTGGCCCCACCTCGCAGACCGGGAGCTGGCGGCCCAGGCCAGCAGGTGGGGTCTCGGGGCTGTGGCTCAGGTGCCAAAGGTCCCAGGCTGGCGGGCATCTGGACAGCCCAGCACAGCCTCCACCACAGGATTCTGACTTCAAACACCCGGGTCGCACGTCAGACTCAGGTGAACACAAGGGCCTACAGCCTAGAAGAGGGGGAGATGGTGGGGACTGCCAGCCCTTTGGGAGTAGTAGAGGGACAGGGCGACCCCCTGGGGACCCAGAGCCTGCGCTTACGTGTCAGCAGCAGCCCTGTCCCTGTGGACACCGTGATGCCCATCCCCGGTGCCTGTGCCCGCAGGCCCATCTCCAGGCTAAGTGGGCACAGGGTGACCCACTCTCTCTTTCACAGCATCGAACTGCCCGTATGAGGGCCTGATGCAGCTCTGGCGGCCCTGGGGACACGCCCTGCGGTGGGCACCCTGTCATTTCCCGGCCGGCTTGAGTGGCTGTGCGGGCTCCCAGCACAGTGGAGACTATTCTTAGCCCACAGGGACCCCGAATTAACTCGGAGGAAGTGCCAGCTGCCCTGGTGGTTTGGGAACTTCCCTGAATATAAGGTTCCAGCCACAAAAATCCCACAGCCGAGAAGGGCTCCGCCACCAGCCGGATGGCGGAGGGAAACAATGGCTCCCGCAGCCCCGGGGCCAGGTGCGCGCCAGAGGCGGGACTGAGCGCTGCTGCTCTCGCCCACCTGCCTGGTGGTGGGGTGGGGGCGGAAGGACACCACAGGGGGTGGACGTGGCGGAAAGGGAGGGGATGGCCGAGCAGGTTCGAGACAGAGCAGAGAGAGAACTGTTTCCACCAGCACCACCCTGGGCACAGGGCCATTCCCGGGCCTCCCCAGTGGGTGCTCAGCGATGGGGAGCCCCTCACATGCCGGAACAGCTGCTGCATCACGACAGACCAGGAGGGGCACAGGCAGACACCTGTTCCCCCGCCTGCTGGGAGGCGCCCAAGAGGGGCAGCCGGGTGACACGCCTCCTCCAGGCTCACAGGGCTGGCTGCTGACTTTTTCTGAGACTCCCCTTCCCTGAACCACAGCGCCACGCCCCTGAAAGGGGTGTGTCCCCAGGTGTCTGCCACCTTTTAGGAAGCTTCCCAGATCCTCCCCAACACACCCTGCAGCTCGAGGGCCCTGCCTGCCAGGGGGCTCGGGTTGGGAGGCTCGGAGAAGCGCTTGCCCGCGTCCCTCACCATGAGGATGCGGCGGTAGCTGTCGCGGTCGATGCCCCAGAGCTTGAGGTCCGTCTTGGCTTTCACGGTCGCCGCTCTGGGGGTGCCGTAGATGAGTGCCAGCTCCCCAAAGCTGCCGCCCTCGCTGATGTTGGTCACCCACTCTCCGTTCACGTACACCTGGGGGCGGCAGGGGAAACGTCATTGGGCCACGTGGGGGCGGCACCCCAAGCCAAGCCTGAGGCCCCTGGCTGGGGACGGAACACGGTTCTCCTGCCCAGGCCTGGCCTCGGTGCCCGCCCCACCCGGCCCTGGATCATGGCGTCTAATCCCAAAAGGCAAGTGGCCCTCAGAGGCCGGCGCCAAGGGGACAGGCCAGGGCTGGAGGTGGAGGCTGCCCGTCAGGGCCCCCGTCTGCAGGGAAGCCCGCCCTGCCTCCTCCCCCCAGGCGGACTTCCACCCAACTTTCCACCACGACGGGCCTCTCTGGGCCTTGTTTTCCCTGACCGCATGCTGAGTAACGGCCCTCGAGAACGTGAGGGGGTGTCTCCGTGTCGCCCCCCCCAGGCCCTCTGCACCTGGCAGACTCCTCCACCCCGTCATTCATCAGCCGCCTCCTCACCCCCCTGCAGCGGCCCCTCCCTCAGCCTGTGTCTCTCCCAGGGCCTGAACTCGGGCAGGGCACCCGAGCTCGGGGCAGCCGTCAATGGGACAGCCAGGCCCCACTGAGAGGGCCCCGGACAAGACTCGCTTTCAGCCGCGTGGGCGACGCCCGTGCAGCGTCCCTGCAGAGTGTTCACGGCGCCGGCCCCGCGTTGCAGAGAGAACGGTGCGGATTGTCCATTATGCGGAGCGCTCACTGTGACTGGACACAGAGCAGGCTTTCTTCCCCCCGGTGTCAATGAGCCAAAGAACAGCTCCCGTCGGCACGCTGGGCGCAGATCCGGAGAGAACAGGTCACGGCGAGTCGTGGACGCCACTCTGGTCCAAGTCAATGACTCGTTATCTCGGTCATGAGGGCCACGCAGACTCGCCCGGTGGGGACCGCACCACGCTGGCGGGGACCTGGGCCACCACAGTTTAGAGGGACGTGGGGACAGCGGCTGGGCCAAACAAAGCCCCCAGAGGGGTCTGCGTGTCCTTCCAGTGAGGCTCCAGCACCCAGGGAGCCGCTGCCCGGACCACACCCAGTGCACTGACTGACACATGTCCCGCCCAGGAAGGGAGCCGGGGCCGCACCTCGAGGCAGCAGGGTGCCCGTGTAGCTTCGCCGTGGACGAAGGACACCCGTCCTGGGGTTTGGGGTAATGGGGCGGCAAAGAGAACACGGTTCAGAACCTCTGCCTCATTCGAAGGGGCCCAGAGCCCATGGGGAGGGGGCAGGGCTGGCAGTGGTCAGCGCGACGGGCTGGATGGCGGGCACCTTAGGTCCCCTCTCTCAGCTGGTCCACCCACGGCATCGGGTCTGGTGAAACCCCAACCACAGCGCCACGGAAATGTCTGTGCGCTTGAATCCTGTGTGCACAGCTCGGCGAGTTTCTGCCACTGAGGTCAAGCTGCAGGGTCTCTGGGGCCCCTGGGGTCCAGCGCGTCTCAGGGATGAGGCACACGTCCCTCGGCCACATACGTCTGGGGGCTGAGGGCTCGGTCCACCCAGGTCCACCCCTACCCGTGCGGCAGGGGTCAGTGCTGGACTGATGGCCATTCTGCTGTCAGGCTGTGGCTTCAGGCAGGGACACTGTGTGGAGGCCACACTCTGCCCTCTCTTTCGGGAAACACCTGGGGTGGCATGGGTGCCATCTTACTGACCAGTGTCCCCAGGGGGGTTCCACCAGCACCCACCAAAGAGCTCAGGAAGCCAAAGACAGAGGAGGTGTCTCTACAGAGCCACCCCTGGGGGCTGCGACCCCAACTTTCCAGGACGTACCCCAAAGCGGGGTCCGGTGCTGCAGGGCAGGGCGGAGGGCCCAGAGCCTCGCCACGGGGCGGCCAGGACGCCCTTCCTTGCCAGCAGCCCAAGGAGGCGTCAGAGAAACCCATTGTGTGGCCGAGGACGAGCCCCACAGAGCACAAAGGGCCGTCTTTCTCAGGACACTGGCCTCTGTCACCACGGCCAGCGCAGCGCCCAGCCCCACCCCGTGGCGCACACAGGGGCTCCTTCTTGCTTTGTTTTATTTGCTGTGTTTTCTTCTTCTTTTAAAATATAAACAGTGGGAGGCTCCACTGGGCCTGTACATGTACGTGCACTCCCGCCCTGACATTTCGAAACCATTCCTTGGTTTGCCCGTCCATCTGTCTGTCCGTGCAGCAGCCAAGTGGGCGCTGAGTGCCCTCAGGCTTGGAACTGCGGAAGCAGGGAGGAGCTGAGAGCACTGCCCACCTGCCTGAGCAGCGGGGGTCTCTGGAAGCTGGGGGAGCTGCCAGCAGGGGCTGGGTGCCCGGGGAGGGGGCCGGACCTGCTGCCTCACTCTGCTGCCTGTGCCCCCCAATTCCAGACGCCACAGAATAGACAGTGGGGCTGAAATGGGGCTGCCCACACAGGTGGACACAAGAACCAGGCCCCGAGCTGCCGGCTGAACCAAGGCGGACACCACCGTGAGGCCTTAGCCCCCCAGCTCCCGCCACCGCAGCCTGGGTGAAGCAGTCGTTCACGTATGTCCCCAGGCAGCTGTGTGTGTTTTCTCAGGTGAGAAAAAGCTAATGGCTCACCTCCTCCTTCCTTCCCAGACTCCCGCCACCAAGGGGGGTGCGCGTCTGTGCAGGTGAGCCGTGCAGGAACACCTGAATCCCGTGCCCACCTGCAGGGCGTCCCCTGTGGCGGCAGCAGCCCGGCCCACCTGTTCTCACCTGCCAGTCCAGGAAGTCCCACCTCTCACTCTGCTCTTCCCACCAGGTGAACCCAGCCCCTCCCCTCAACGGCCGAGAGCCCAGAACACCTGGTGGGGGAGGGGGCTGGTTGGCTTGGTTTTAGCTTGAGGTGCAAAGACCTCGCCCGTGAAGCTCCTGTCTGTGGCACCTGGGCCGAGTGGGACAGCCACTCAGATTGCTGCCACTGCTCGGGGTGGCGGGCGGCCAGGCAGCCTCCCTCCCATGGAAGCCCAAACCCACCAGGGCTCGGGCCCCTCACCAGCCCCGCCAGCCCCCCCCCACAGAGGCCCTGGCACAGTCTGGGGGAGGGCAGCCTAGAAGGCGCTGAGCTGCCAGAGAGAAACTTCACGCCAGCTCTGGGCCATGGCCATGGCTACTCAGTTAATGGGGTGACAAAGTAGCAGACGCCCCGACATCAAGGGAGAGATACCCACACACCCACGTCCACGCAGCACCATTCACAACAGGCGACAGGTGGAAACCGCCCCGGGCACCCGATGAGTGGATAAAGGAAATGCGGGCGACCGCTCTGCCCTGAACAGAAAGGGGGCGTTGACCCCCACGGCCACGGGGACCAGCGCGGAGGACGCCGAGCTGAGCGCCGAAAGCCAGACACAGGAGGACAGACACAGTCTGTCTCGGTGTGAGAAGGTGGAGACCGCCCAACAGAATGACGTGAAGGCCGTAGAACCGTGGAACGTGCCTCACGGCTCCGTACGGGCCATGTAAGAGTCATCAGCACGGTGAATTCCCATTAACTGCGTCTTTCGGGGAGGACAGAGCTGAACACCAGGCGAACTCTGAGTGACAACTGCCACTGCAGAGGGGGACACTGCGCAGGGGCCTGGCTCCCACCTTGGAGGCCGGAAGGTGGTGCCCCAGACGCCCCGGGCGAGGCCCCAGGGAATCCGGGGCGGGAGCCTGGGGTGGCCTGGCCCCAGCACACAGAACCAGGGCGGAAGCGGGTTACAGACGGAACTGCCTCCGGAGCCTGCGGGGTTGGCGGCTGAGCGTCCTTCCAAGCAGAAATGCCACGTTCCAGGAATAAAACAAATTGCCGATATTTCTGTGCTTCGGAAGAGGAATTATAGCTCCGGGTGACACACACCACGACGGCAGGCACTTTGGTCACCGTCTCTGGAAAACTGTCATTTAAACTGCACCTGGGGCTTTTGGCATTCGGTCACCTGGCGGAGACCCAGGGTGCCACAGCCTGAGGGTAGCGTCCACTCCACAGAAGGGACAGTGTTCAGGAAGCCCAGACCAAGCCCCACCCAGTGACAGGGTAGGGCCCTGGGGGGGGGGGTCCAGACATTGGTTAGGGGCAACAGTGCAGACTCAGGGTCTGCTCTCCACTCCCCCACCCCAGGGAGACCAGGCCACTGTTGCTGCACAGCCCCCTGAGCACCTCGCCATCCCCGTGTCCCTGCCACCCCGTGCACGGTGAGGGACGGCATCCTCTCCCCTCTGGGAAGCACCTGGCAGAAATGAGCCCACCAAGGGCAGTGCCCTGGCCTCCGAGAAGCCGCTGTGCTTCCTGCCCAGGGACAGTAACACCAGTGCCAATAGACCCTGCAGCTCACCCAGAGCCAGCCTGCCACTCACCCCGGATGCCTGACCCTGCAGCTCTGACCCCGAAGGTGTGGCCCCACCCCCACTGCCACCTGTGTGCTCACCTGTGCCTGGCTGCCCCCTGGAAAGTCTGGTGACCCTGGGGGGCTATGTGGCCCCGACGGACACTGTGGGACAGCCCCATGTCCAGGACGGCAGCCAGGATGCAAGGTTCTGTTCAGACATCCTGACCTGCTGAGGCCAGGGCTGGGGACAGTTGGACCTGCCAAGACCATCCATTTAGGGAACCCCCAGGTGTGAGGGGGCCTTGGTTCCCTCACAGAGTGCCTCCCCGTGTCCCCTGGCCCTGAGAAAGGACAGCAGGCGCCTGGGTGATGAACGGGCAGACCGGCCCCTCCCACCCTTGGTTTGCAGACAGGCGGGGGGGAGGGGAAGGGTGCAGGGGGTGGGGGTGGAGGGGACTCAGGGTCTACAAGAAGTGCTGACCTGCTGGGCCTGAGCATGTGAGTTGGGCACTGGAGGAGTGTGAGCAGCCGGGAGCCCTCTCCAGGGGAGATGGCCCCAAACCACAGAGCAATCTGCTCCTCAGCCCCGAGGCTAGACCCCTCCCTCGGGTGGGGGGCCCCTGGGGTCCAGGAGCTGGATCGGGCGGTGGTCACCAGCTTCTGCCCACTAGGGCTTTCCTCCGAGCAGGAGGTGAGGAGACGGGGAGCAGATGCCCAGCAGGTGGTAGGACGGGACAGAGGACAAGAGGAAACCACCGGGGAACTGAGGGGGACAGAGGGCCACAGAGCCCCAGCAACCCCGCCCGTCACTGGGAGCCCATTCAACCATGGAGGCTGGGAGCACAGCCCCGGGCCCGGGAGCCAGGCCATGGGCCGGAGGGCTGCCTGCCCACACGGGCCAGGGCCACCCCTGAGACCCGACGCTGGGCCCTCAGGCTCCTTGGGAGAAACAGCAAAGAACTTGGGGCAAGGAGGGGCCTCCTCGTCTGCTCACTCAGGAGACCTGGGCAAGACGGGCAGTTCCCATTCTCACTGCGCCGTTGGAAGGTGCCAGTGGAAGTGGACGGAAGGCCCCGAGACGTCACGAAAAGGGGAGTGAAGGAGGGGGCGCCAGGATCTGGGCCTGCGTGGGCTCCCGTCGAGGGGGGACAGCCTTGTCCCCCAACATCAGGGTGGCTGGAAAGCGGTGCCGGCAGGGCTCTGCCTGGGCCACGGGGGGTTCGCGGGGCAGAGCAGAGCAGAGGGGGCACGAGAGGCGAGAGCCCAGGGCGAGACCTGCATCCTGAACCTCTTGCTCACCGGCTGGCACACAACGGCCGCTCAGTGAGCCCATGGGCAAGAAGCAGGTACGGGAAGGGCAGAGCCCGGGGGCGGCTTGGGGGGCAGAGAGGGGGAGGTGGAGGGGCCTGGACCCTGGCCCTCAGCGTCCCCGAGGCAGGGCTGGTGCCAGCGTCCTGGTGAGGACGATGCCCAGCTGGGCCGCTGGCTGCGTCCCTGTCTGTCTCCTCTGCTTCCTGGGCTGGTGCGGCTGCTGTTTTTGTTCCTCACCCAAAGGGAAGCCAGCAGGAGCTGACTCTGCAGGCTGGCAGTCTGAGCCCAGCGTGGGGACCTCACCCACATTCTGGCCCTGCCTGCTCCACATACTTCCTCTGTGGCCCTTGGCTCCTGCCTCAGTTTCCCCCTCTACTGCGAGACAGAAGCCCACCCCGCCCCAGGCAGAAAGGTTGCATGGTCCTGGGCGGAGGTCAGGACGGGCAGGGGTCAGGGCTCCCGTCTCGGGCAGAGGGGGCTGGGCCCTTGGGCTGGTGTGTGACCTCCCAGAGAGATGCCCGGGTGAGTCATTTCCTCTGCCGCCGCCTCCGGAAGCCGAGGGCCGCCTGCTCGGTTCCCAGAACACAGTGACAGTGGACACAGACCGGCCACTCAAGAGATAAATAAGCCCATGTCCCCCAGAATAGCTCGGCTGAACTGGAGGTGGAGCCCTGAAATACCCTGGCTGGGGCAGCCTGGCCAGGGCAGCACCACTGGCAGCAGGGGGAGCTGGGGGCGCACCTGGAGGGGCCGCCAGGTGCCCCATCCCAGTGCTGGTGTCTGAGGCCTGGGGGTGACTCAGGGGCCAGCTGGGAACATGGGGCCTCACAGATACATGTCCTGACTGTGCCTGGGGCAGACTCCGCCCCTGCCCTGTGGCCCCGTGGGAGGATGTGGGCCTGGCTCACCTCACCCGTGGGGGACGCCCACAACCACTCCGGCAGGGGGCTGGCCCAACATGGTGGCCGGCATTTGAAGGACAGCAGCTTCATACAAGTGAGGGTCCCCCAAGCCTGGGAGGTACGGCAAGGCTGAGTGAGGACAGGAGAGGGTGACATCAGCTGCGGCCAGCTGATGCACCTGGGCCACCGACCAGGGCAGAGTCCAGTCCCAGGGACCCTCGGACCTGCACCCAGGACGGCAGACCAGCACCACCAGCCGGCTCGCATATCGGAGTGCGTGCGCTCCGATACTTTTCTGTGCCCTTCGAGCGGAGTGGATTGCTTCCGGGGGTAACACATCAGAAACGTGCCTCTCAAAGGGGACGTCTTTCTGAGCCTGAGCCTGAGCCTGTTAGTGCCCTGGCGTCACGCAGAGCGGGACAGGTCTTCAGACCTGTGTTCCAGAACCAGTCGGGAGGTACTTACATCCACCTCTCCTTGGTCGATGACGTAGAAGTTGTCGCCTTCGTCCCCTGAAACCGCAGAAAAGACACAGTCTGCGTGATGAAAGGACACAGAGGCTGCGCGCGTGTCTTGCCACCGCCCCGCGCTGCTTCCTGACCCACTGCCGCCGCCCCCGAGTCTGCCCGCCATCCCGGCCCCCCCCCCCAGGTTGGTGCAGCTGCCTGTTTGGGCAGAGAGACAAGCGAACAACGTGGTGTCAGCTCGTCAGACACCACATTTCATGAGTGGCTTTTCCCAAGACACATGATGAGAGTTTCACACGCATTGTTTTCTGTTGGGAATTCCTTCAGCGAACAGCCCGAGGGTCCCTGCTCGGTCCCCCCGGGGAGGACAGGGGCGCACCTTGCTGGATGACAGTCTCCCCGGCGATGTGGGTGACAGGGAACATGGCGTCGAATATGTCGCTGAAAAGAAGACACAGAGGGTGTGAGCCCCGCAGGGGCCCCCGAGTCAGACCCACATCCCTCCCCTCCCCCCAGACTCAGTCTTGTTGGAACAGGGGCAGCGGGGGGCAGGGTGGGGGGAGCGGACACAGTCACCTAAGTCACAGAAGGAAAGAAAACCCTTCCCGCCCCATCAGCTTCTGTGCCTGGACGGGTTGGCTGTTCGGGGTTTACAGACACCAGGTCACAACGTACGTGCCGCTATGAACGCCACTCACAACAAAAGCAACAAGAGGCGGTGGACACTTCTCGTGTCCACATGGGGGGCTTCTGATCCTTGTGGTTTTAAGCCAAAGCTCCTGACGTTGGCCACTGGGCCACCTCCAGTAACAAGGAAAGCAAGCGTCAGGCCGGCAGCACTACTGCACCACCCTTCAAAGTCTCACGGTGAAACATTTCAGATGCCAGAGGCACGGGGTGGTCAGAGCCGGGACGCGTGTTCCTGCCCAGGTGGCGGAGGCTGTGCGGCGGGGCCCGAGACCCAGTGCCCCAGTTTGGGTGTAGGGTCCCCCACTGTGGGGTGGGGTGTCCCTACGCTTTCCTGAGGTTCCAGTAATTCTTCCTGAACACTGACGACTCAGGCTGAGCACGACTTACTGCCATGAAATCTTTTTTAAAAAAATGTGGACCTCCAGCTTCCCTGGAAATATCAGAGATCTGGCCACCTGGGCCCACACCACAGGGCAGAGGCCACTGAGTTGAGTCCCCACCCGCTGAGGCCAGGCCTCCCCTGGTCCGCCTGCAGGGACCCGTGGGCCTCTCCACCCAGGGGCTGGGCTGCAGAGTCGGGGAAGGACCTGACTGTCGCGTGGATATCAAGGTGCGGGGACACCTGAGCCAGGCTCACGGCCACTCCCACCAGGTACAGATCCAGCTGCTGCTCCCCAGACACCAAAACACAGGCCTAGAGCCCGGGATGCTTCCCAGCAACACCTTTGTCCCCACAGAGGGACAAGGGTCCCCCCAGCTTCCAGGAGCTGCACAGGCAGGCAGGGGGTCCCAGGTGCAGCCCCACAGCTGCCCAGCAGGCCAGTGGCTGAGCCTCAGTTTCCCCCTGTGGACCAGGCTCTACACACAGCAAGTTCCTGAGTGGCCCCAGCACCTTGGCGGCCGGGGTGCATGTGCTCCATCAGTGGCCACGCCCCATGTCCCCTGCACACAAGGACCTGCCACCCGGACACCGTGTTCCTTCAACTGGGTGGGGGCATCAGCTGCCAGCCCCAGCTGGTCCTGGACATCCTCCCTCCCCAGCCAGAATAGCCCCGTATCCCGGCCAGCTCCCTCTGTCTCCAACAGCTGGGGCACAGTGACCCCAGGTGGCCGGCACCTGCAGCCAGCGACTGCCACAGGGGGGACAGCATGACACAGAGTTTACCAGACACAGCAGCTCTGAGGGGAGGGGAACTCCCTCCCTCTGTGTCTCTGTCCCTCCCCTCCTGCCACAAGCGGCCACTACCCCGCCTGCTCCGTCCTGTGGCAGCAGCTCCCGCCGGCAGCCAGAACCACGTGGAGCAGAGGCGGGCAGAGCCCATAGGGGCGGGTGGGCCCATGTCCTCCAAGCCCTGAGCTCCTCTCAGGGACCACAGGAAAGTAGGTCCTGACCCCTGGGTAGTGGGGGGGTCAGGTGGCAGAATGGGCCAGGACAACCAGGAACCAGGACGCCTGGGCTCAGGCCCCAGCCCTGCTGCCCACTGCCCTGGTCAGCTCTGCCTGGGCACTGAGACCATGACCCCGCCTCCTCAGGCTGCCGTGGGGGCAGAGCGCCCACAGGTTCAAGTTCTGGGACCACTGTCTGCCTCACGTGCTGCCGGAACCCACCCCCCGGATTGGCACCCCCAGCCCCCGCAGAAGCTGCAAGGCAAATGGGCAGAGGGCTGGCCTCCCCGCCAGGCCACGCCCCGCGTGGGAGAGAATCTCAGACCTGAAAACAGTGCAGTACGTAAAGGTCCGTTGGACTTCACCTGACTCTGAAATGTTGTGCTTTAAAAGACACCACTAAGAAAACAAAAAGATCAGATACCAACTGGGAGAGACGTTCGCAAGCCCTGTGTGCTGGAAAGCGCTCTGAGTACACACAGACCTCTGGGAGCTGCACCACCAGAGGACCAGGGACTCAGAAAGTCAGCAACGCTCTGAGCAGACGCTCTGGGAGAGGGCCCGCCCGCAGCCAACACCTCACTGGTCAGCAGGGACGCGTTCACAAACTCAAAAGACAGTGCCGGCTCGGGCAGGGACCCGGAGACCCAGGGCCCCACACGTCACCTGGCAGACAGGACTGTCAGAGTGGCAGTCACTCTGGACAGCAGGTGGCTTCTTTAAAAGTTAGACATGAAGTAGCCAACGAACCAGAAATTCCACCATTAGGAATCTGCCCCAAGGGACAGGAAAACACGTCCCAGGCAGACACACACGGGGGCCACAGCCCTGAACCAAAGGCAGTGGGGGAAGGACCTCCCGAGCCGCTCCCTCTGCAGCCCAGTTCAGCCTCCATCACTTCGAGGACTTCGTGTCCATGGTCAAGAAGCTGCAGCACTTTCTTACCATCGAAAACAAGGACTGAGTTACTGGGGCAGAGGAACAGAGAGGGGAGGGGTGCCCGGCACGGCCCCCAGAGCTGAGAGCCCCACCCAGGCGGCCTGCACGCTGGGCCCCGGCAGCTGCACCATGCGGCGGGGCCTCCCCCCGACAGCTGTTCCTGAGTCAAAGCGCATCTTTGTTTCCCACTCTTGGCAACTGTTGCTTTCTCTGAAGGACCAGCACAGACCAGCTGTCTGCCCGCCCGGGAAGGGTGGGTCCTCAGGCACGGGGCTCAGGGCAGGAGGGAAGCACAGACCCTGGGCTGGGAGGGTCCCTCCCTGGCCCTGCCGCCCCGCCTCCTCACCTGCCGCCTGCGCCCGAGGGCCATGAAAGGGGACTGGACGCAAACCGACAGGCAGGGCCCTGCTTAGGGCAGTCCTGGCTAGACCCCGGGTAGACGGGGTGCAGTGGAGTGGAGGATCACTCAGCCTTAAAAAGGGACGGACGTGCCCCCCACCATGGCCTGCACAAGCCTCAAGGGCCCCGTGCTGAGAGGAGCAGGCTGGGCACAGTGCGCACGCACTGTCCTACCCCACTCGTGTGAGGTACCCACGCTGCCAAGCTCACAGAGATGGCAGGTGGGGGGGACCGTGGGCCGGGGGAGGGTGGGGAGACTTCACGGGGACCAGTCTGAATGCGGGAAGAAAGCGTTCTGCAGACAGACGAGGTGACAGCAGCAGAGCAGCGTGACTGTGCTGACGCTCCCAAACGGGACACCCAGTCACAGCTAAACGGAGGGTTTTGCATTGTATTTGCTTTATCACAAGGAGACAGTTACGGGAAAAATGCCAACTTCTGCACGACAAGAGAACGTCATCCACGCCGGGACGGGTGACCCCAGAGGAAACGCTCATGCTTCTTGTTCGATCCTCAACGGCCTGACTCTGCTCGTTTGCAAATAACCCGTGAGAATTCAAGGGAAGAAGAAGACAAGCCAGCGAACCACCACGAGCAAAGGATGAGTCGGTGACGCGCAGCCCGACGCAGGTGACCACACGGCGTGAGGAGCGCACTGTCCACCCCGAAGGAGCCACTGAACTCACCCCCGCAGCTGACCGGCCACATAACGTGCAGCCCCCCGTCCCCATCCTGTCCCCGCACAAAGTGACCACATGGCCCCTGTTCGGAGGTTAGCAGTTCGGGAGGGTGGAGCGTCACCAGAGAGCAGGGGCCTCTGAGCACAGAGCCCAGACGGCAGGTCCGGCCACCGGGTGCAACCTCCCCTTGAGACGGACGAGTGAGGTTGGGGCAGCCACGCGCAGCCCACGTCGAGGGGCCACCCCCCGACACGTCTTTCCAGATGTGCAGCCAGCCCCTGCAGCCCGAGTGCACAGACCGCTGGGGAAGGAACAAGCACGTGTCCCCAGAGAATGTGCCAGAAACTGTCACCACAGGGAGATACCATGGATGGCCCTTCTGGTTGCTTCCTGAGCATTAAAAAATAAAACAAACCAAAAAAACACAAAAACCATGGCTCCCCACAGAGTGTGTGGCCCCGGCCCGAACTCAGCTCATCGGCACCCGCTCCCCGCACCACCCACACCTCAGCTTCCGGTGCAGGTGGGGAGCGTGTCCTCATGCTGAGGGCACCCGGAGACGCACACCACCACACTCCAGAGGTTTTCAAATGCTGCGACCCCAGGCCAGATCCCCGCAGGCTGCTCGATGGTGGCCCCAGGGTGGGGGAGCCCCAAATTCTTTCTCTCCTAACCCCACGGCCATGCACATCCTGTGGGCCTTGGTGAGCGAGTCCCGGGAACCCTACCACAACAGACTCCATCAACAAGCCTGGATGCATTGCCCAGGCCAGTCCAGTGCCGCCCATCCGGACCAGGGTGCAAATTCCCGCTTCTCCCAGGCCCAGCGGGGGGCCTTGAGCAGTGTGCTTCCTCACTGTGTGCCTCTCTGCCCAAGGGCACCAGGACGTCACTGGCCCACACCGTTCTAACATGAGGGCGGCACGAGACTGCAGGCTGGCTCTGCACACTCCAGGTGGGACAGGGCGGCAAACTCCAGCCTCCCACCCAACACGTGTCTAAACACCCAGGTTCACGTGGCCGCAGTCCGCGAACCCCGAGGTCTCTGCCCAGAGGGAGCCTGGCTTCGTCCAAAATGAAAATCCAATTCTCTGCATGTTCAAGCCATTAGGCACCTCCTCCATGCAGCCCTGTGCTTTCCAAACGCTAGCTGCCTTTTCTAGTCCTGCTGAAAGGGAAGCATCCGGCCCCCACACCGGAGCCCAGGGGGAGGGGGCAGCGGGCAGGGTGGCGAGGAGGCCGAGGCTGGCCCCCGGAGCTGCATGTGAACGCGCAGACAGCGTGTTTTTCCCATCACCTGGGGACCCGCGCCAATCTGTGGAAAAACAGGCTGCAAAGATATGCGGGTGCGAGGAAGAGAGGACAGACAACAGGAGACAGCTGCGCTGGGGCGGCGCTGCAGCCAGAGGCCTGTTTTAATTAGAGCTGCCGAGAGCCCGGCGGCTGCCAGGACAGCCACAGGGCGAGGCGCCCTCCCCACGCGCCGTCTGGCAGCCCGGTAATGAGGCCCCGGTGGAGGGCCCGGGGCACAGAGCGCTGCCACCCACCCCACGCGCTTCCTCCTAATCACCACACCCGGCTCCCGGGTGAGCACACTGGTCGCCAGGGCCCTGGCCCGGAGGGAGCTGAGTGAGCCCAAGGGCCCCCCAGGTCCCCCCACCAGGCCAAGGCCATGCCCTCAGGGCCAGGCCAGATTCACGGCACATCTCAGGGCTCCGGCACCCATGGGCCACCTTCCCCTGACCAGCGTCCCAGGAAGGACCTGTGTCTGCCTTTGCTCAGTAGCTGCACCTGCCGCCTCCCCAGCCACTCGCCTGGAGAAACTCACTTCGGCAGAAGGTTGTGCAGGGCCACCCAGGCACGAGGATGCCCCGCTCCAGCCCCAACTGGGACAGGTGCTGCCTGGCCGGGAGCGAGGGGCAAGGGGCGTCCCCTTTTTGGCCCCAGAAACCCTCTCCTGTGAAGGGAGGTAAGCGCAAGCTGGCCGCAGAGCCTCCCTGCTGGGTCCTGGGCCCCAGAACAGCCTGCTTGCCTTCCTCGGGCCCAGGGTGAAGCAGACGGTGACATAGGGGAGCGGCCTCCAGGACACTGCAGGCCCTTCCACACACAGCACTGAGGCCAGCTGTTGGGTCCAGGTGGATGACTGGGCCAGCGCCGGGGGAGCAGAGCGGCAGCTGGGAAGAGGCCCCCTGACCCCACCTCCCTGCTCAGCCAGAGGGTTTCCAGAGAGATGGTGGTGGTGATGGTGGTGATGGTGATGGTGGTGATGGTGATGAGGGTGATGATAATGGTGATGGTGGTGATGGTGGTGATGATGATGGTGATGATGTGCCCATGGACACGACTGCACTCCTTCCCCCTGAGCCCCCAACACGACAGAAGCCCCCCGAGCAGGGACCATCACTCTCCAGTGACTCTTGAGGACACTAAGGCTCAGATGATACCATCACACAACTTGCGAATTACATCACACAACTTGCGAATTACATCACACTACTGGCTCCTTCCCAAAGGCACTTTAACACGCCTGAAATCAGGTGGTGAGTGTGCGTGTGCATGTGAGCAATGCATGTGTGCCTGTGCTGAGTGCGTGTGCGGGTGTGTGTTTAAGGCCGCTCCAGCCCCACACTCAGCATTTAGGGCTCGCTTGTCCTCGCTCACTGCCATGGCCAAGCCGGCCGGAGCACGCGCCCCACAGTCTCAGACCGCCCGGACACCAGGGTCCCCACCCAGCCAGGGCGAGGCCTGGGTCACCACTCCGACCCTGCTTCCCCTCCACGCTGCCCACATCTGTCCTCACATGGACCCCAGAGACTCCTGGTGGGGCCCTGGCTTTGCCAAGACAGGTGGTGTGGCCTTGAGCCCAGGACAGCCCTCCTTACTTGCACAGGGGGAAACTGAGGCTCTGCACCACCCTCACGGGCCCAGAGAGAGCCTTCGATAAACACCGCCCAGGAGTGCGGCCATCCTGTGAGAGGAGGCATGGCACGGACGGTGTGCAGCCACCCAGAGCTGAGCTGCGTGAGCAACTCTTCACGAGGCGGCTCGAACCCAGTGCCACCTTCTCTCCACACCGAGTGTTGCCCCAGGAAGTGAGAACGGCCTGGAGGGAAGACGCCTGCACACATGGGAAGGAGCAACACGACCAGCCTGTGGCGCAGGTTCACTGTCTTCAACCTGAATCCAGCAGGGGGGCCACTAAGCAGAAAGGTGTACTTGGCCCCCAGTCCCCCACATGGGTTTATTTGCAAAGGAATGTCCTGGCGGGGATGCGGAGGCGGCGGCGGCAACAGCCTCAGTCCGGTGGGCCCGGCGCCCTGCCCACTTGGAGAGGACAGTGCTGCCCGAGCCAGACTGCAGCCGAGGCCAGACAGAGCGGCCTGGCCCGGCGGCGGGAAACCTGGGAAAAGCAGCTGGTTTGGAGGCCGCAGGGGACACGTCATGTGAAAGGTCGCGAGGCAGGCCCCTGCCCACTGCCTCCGGAACGGCTTCCTGGACTGTCGGCCTGTTTCTTTAGGGGCTGTGGCCAGAAAAAGGAGCCCGTGGGGGTTTCAGATGGAAAGTGAGCTTTCCTGTGTGCAAAACAAAGGACCTGGAGCACCACGCGGACAGATGAGAGCGTTCTTTCCACGCCGGCCTGGCCAAGAGGGATTTTCAAGCCCGCCATCTGCTTCCTCCACTTCTTGTCCACCTGGCTCGCCGAAAGAACAGTCCGAGTTCCGCAAATGTGAGGCCAAAGGCCCGGGACCCAGCGCACGCAGCCGGGTGCCGGAGACACAGTCTCACTCAGCTGACACTCGGACCAGGCAGGCCCTAACTAAGACTTTTTTACTGTACCAGCTAGTGCTCCGGGCTGGTGAGGGGTCAAGGAGTTTGCCTTAAACACGGCTTCCCCTGGAGGGAGGGACAGCTGGGCTCACAGGGAAGGGGGCCTGGCTGTAGGCTGCACGTGGAATGACCGTCCAACCCCACGCCTCCACTCCAGGTGTGTGCCCAGGACCACAGGCCCACAGCAGCAGATTCAAGTAACCAAGAGGCAGAAACAACCCCGGCGCAACCAACAGACAACGTCGATGAACCCGATGTGGTCCCCCTGTGCCACCACAGAGTGTCACCCCCCCCCCAGGGACTCAGGCACACACAGCACAGGTGGACCCTGGAGCCGTCCCACTCAGGGAAAGACGCAGGTCATGCACGTCACACACTGTGAGATTCCACTCCTAGGAAAATGCCAGAATGGGTAACCCCACGAAAACAGAAAAGGGTCACTGCACACCCAGGGCACACCCCCTCCATGAGCAGGCACCAACAGGCGACAACCGGGCTGAGCTGGGCCGGTCAGTCCCCCCTCACCGAGGGCCAGCCTCAGGGTGAAGAGTGGACCAGTGGCTGTGTGGCCACCGGCCACGGGCAGGAGCAGAGACCTCCGCCTGAGGGTGGGGGGCGTCCGTCTGCAGTAAGGGGGCCGGGCGCCCAGGGGGAGCAGCCCCGGGCAGTCTGCAGACAGCTGGCCGTCCACTCTGGGCCCGGCCACCTTTCGGGTTTGGAGCCATGTGGAGGCAGTGCCCACCCAACCCACACTCGAAAGTGATGTTCATCTCCAAGTGGAAACAGTCAGAACAGGTAAATGTCTGAGGACAGACAGAGGGCGGGAGCAGCTGGGCCAGCCCCCACTCGGACAGCTCAGCGCAGAGCAGGTGCAGCCAGCACTGGAAGACATGGGACAAGCCACCCACGGGGATCTGGGCAAAGATGGTGGCGGGGACCTTCCCCGGCCAGGCCTGCACATGGGGGCCACAGGTGGGGGCCTACAGTTGGGGGGCAGCTCTGGAGTGGGCGGCCCTTCACTCTCAGGAACCGCCTCTGCTCTGTGGCACTGCTGCCCCCCAGGCAGGTGGCACCGTGACCCAGGGCCGTGACCCAAGCGGCCCGAGAGGGGCTGTCAGCTCCGCGCCACTGCCCTCAGGTTCCTACCTCCTCTCGTTATCGTCCAGGTGAGCGAACAGCACATTCCTGGAGATGGCCTTGGCCAGTGCCGTCATGGTCTTATAGTCTTTGGGGATGACCTGTGGGGACAGCAGCAGTCAGTCTTGTGGGTGCCCCGAGGGCCAGTGGCTCAACCCCGCAAAACTGTGACAGGCCCCGAATTGGCCGTGGGGCTGTCAGCTGGTTGCTGGCCGGCGATGGTGAAGACGAGAGCTTGCAATGTCAGTTTAATAAACAAACCAGAACGAACAGAACAGAGCCCCGGGATGGCCCAGAAGTGGGGTCTTGGTGGACCGGCTCCAAGGGCCTCAGAACATCAGCAGACGCCAGAGGAGCTCCGGTGCCCAGGGCTATCATGTCGTTGCTGATTTCATTCTTTCACTGGTTTTTAATGCAGCAGATGCTTGTTTAAATATTTGAAAAACAAAAAAAGAGACCAGCTGACCTGTGCTTGGGGCCACACGGACCTCCCTGCTCTGGAGGAGGAGAAAGGGGCGGTGGGAATGGTGTCAGGTGGGGGGGGGCTAGACCCCCGTTGGCCAAGCCACTGCACAGGGTGAGGGAAAATGTCCCCACTGGAGACTGGGCTCTTGTCCAGCGAGCCACACACGGAACAATGCAAAGACCTGGCACCTCAAATGCTGTGGATTCTCCCTTAAGGGACCCGAGCGGAAGGCCGGACGAGCCACCGCAGAGCCCCCTCTGTGAGCTCAGCCACCTGGACCCTCTGCCGGGCTGGAGGCGGCAACGGAATCCCAGGTGCATGTGCGCACCACTTTTAGGGACTCGGAACACCCCTCCGCCCGCAGCCCAAAGCCTGACACCTGTCCCTTCCCTGAGCCTGGTGGGGTCACAGGCAGCCCTGGGCTCAGAGGTGCCAATAGGCACCACCACCAGCAACCTCGACCCCCGGCTGCCCGCCCCGGCCCCAGGCCCTGGACCCACCTTCCGGACGTAGGACACAGCATCCTCCTCTGTGTACACCTCGGCGCTCACGCCCCCACGGCGGCAGCGGGCTTTCACCACGGGGTTTGGCAGCGTCGGGGAGGCCTCCTCATCATGCGAGTCGGACTGGGAGGCTGACTTCTGAGCCAAAATCTGTCTGTTCTCTTCCTGGGGGACGGGGTGGGGGGGCGGAGAGCAGAGTGGGTGAGACCATGGCCACCTCGGCCCAAGCCCCAGGGACTGACGGCACACCCAGCCAGGGGCTGGGAGCTCGGGGGCAGGGGGAGAGGATCGGGATGCACGGCCCCCACCCCATGACCCACCTGCCAAGTGCGTCCCTGGAGAGGCCAACATGGACTTCAAGGCCCATTTCAGCATCACCTCCAGCGAGAAGCCTTCTGATCCCCTCCCTCCCACCGCCAGCTAAACGTTTTCCGTCCTGCCTGTGACCCTGCCCCACCCAGGGGCGGAGCTGCAGCCCTGGGGGAAGGAATGACCAATGGCAAGAGTGGACCAGCGGACTGACGAAGGAGAATGAAGGACTGAACGAAGGAACGGAGTCAGAACAGGCGCTGGAGCCCCGGGACACGCGGGGCTTGGAGGTCGCGGCCACCAACCACGCACCACTGCAGCAGCTGCTGGGACTCAGAGCCGGGGACCACATGGCGGGGCCACAGGGCAGTGAGAAGGCGCCAGGCCTCGGCCACAGCTGCTGTGCTGTCCACATCCCCGCGGATGGCGCCACAGAGCTGGCGGCCCCTGAGTGGGCCTGGAGCTAAAGAAGCCAGGAGCAGGGCGCACAGACGCCTGAGGCTTTCATGAGCGGCTCCGCAGGTTCTGAAGGTTCGCAGACGCAGCTGCTTGGAAACCCAGAGATGATGCCGCAGGGCGGCCCGCAGTCCCCTGAGGCCACCAGAGGCCACCTCCTGGTCTCCCGGGGGAATCAGCAATGGCACCTGTCCTGGCCCAGGGACAGTTTTCCATCTTTGGCAGCAAAGGGTCAGCGTGGGCAGGGCGCAGGCGGCTCCACACTGCAGGTCTGGGCGCAGCGGTGACTGTGTTTTCTGGGTGGCGTCCGGACCCTGCCCCCTCTCAGGGTTCCAGCGAAACCTCATGCTTTGCTGGCCCCCTTCCCGCCTGCCGTTTCCAGGCGGATGACTTGACTAAGCGGCAGGGGGCGGGGTGGGGGACTCTCCACAACCACCGCGTGGGAACCGCGTGGGAACCGCGTGGGAACCGCATGGGAACCGCATGGGAACTGCGCGTTCTCCGAAAGCACGAGGCCAGCGTCTGCTCTGGCCCAGGCCGCACGGCCCCAGGGATGTCCCCATGGACACCCTGGCCCATGAATGGCGGTCACTGTCTTCTGACCACATTTTTCCCACACAAGGAGGGTGGACGCAGACCTCCAGCAAAGGAAGGAAATGAGGCCGTGTCCTAGTGAGGACACAGCTGCCCTGTCTCTACTCAAGGGGGTTTCTAGGGGCAGCTAATCACGCAGCCGAGCACCCCAGATGTGAGGCCCATGGAACGCCCCTGGGAGGAGGTGTCTGCGCAGCCGAAGACCTGGGTCCACGTGGGGTGACGGTCGCCAGCCCCACCTGGGAATCACCTCCTCTGGTGGCCGCAGGTCAAACAGAAAACTGAGGGCTGCAGGCCCAGGGGAAACTGAGGCCCAGGAAGGGCAAAGGACGGTGGCTGGCAGGCACCTGGCAGGTGTTCATGTCGAATGGATGAACTAATGAATAAAACCTTTTTGGGGAACAACTGCCACTATATACCTAGGGACACCCTGAGCCCAAATTCTACTTCTTAAAAAACAGCCTAGGGGCCCTGGCTGGTGTAGCTCAGTGGATTGAGCACGGGCCTGCGAACCAGAGGATCGTGGTTCGATTCCCAGTCAGGGCACATGCCTAGGTTGTAGGCCAGTTCCCAGCAGGGGACCTACGAGAGGCAACCATACATTGATATTCTCTCCCTCTCTCCTTCCCTTCCCCTTTAAAGATAAATAAATAAAACCTTTATAAAAAAAAAAAAAGCCTAAGGGACAGTGAGATGACGCATGAAGAGATACCTAAACCAAACGTTCTCTGCAGTGTTTAAAAAGATTTTTCATCCCACGAGCAACAGTAAGAAATTGCATAAATCAGTTTAGAGACATCTGTGTAACAGACCACTCAGCACCATCAACTCGTGGCTTTAATGACAATCAGCCATCATGTCAGTGACCATTAATATTAGGTTTAAAGAGCCAGAAAGCAGGGCCCAGAACTGCAGGCACAAATCATCAAGAGAACGAAAAGACAAGCCACACACCGAGAGAGCGTCTGGGAGAGGCGCCTCCGAGGATGCATGTGCAGGGCGTCCGAAACCTTCCAAACCCGACAGTGAGAAAACCAGCATCCCAGCTGGACAAAGGCCTGGCCAGACCACGCCCCCAGGGGTACACGGGACAGCAGACAAGCACGTGAGGAGACACTCCTCCTCCCGCGTCACCAGGGCGCTCACTCACTGCCGGTGGGGGGTGCAGGCGGGCAGCCCCTCCGAGGGCGGCCGTCCATTTCTCACAAAACTAAGCAGACTTTCACCGTGGGGTCCACGGGTCCCACTCTTTGATGTTTACCCACAAGGTGTGAGAACTCACGTCCCCGCAGAAACCTGCCCACAGGTGTTTCCTTCAGCTTTATCCACGCCTGGATGCAGCAGGCGGTGGGCAAGCTCCGCAGCCCGGCCTGCAGGGGGCGCCCTTCAGCCCTGAAGGGAACTGACCTCTCAGCCACCACCAGATCCGAGGGACCCCCAGTGCATGTGACTCGGTGATGAAAACCAGGGTGACGAGGCTGCATGACTCCAAGTGTGTGACGTTCTGGAAGAGGCAACACTGTGAGGATTACAGACAGATCCTGGGTGGCCAGGGGCTGCGGGGCGGGGAGAGGGGAGGAACAGACGGAGCTCCAGGGGCTGTAGGGCTGGAGAACTAATCTATCGGGTCGGCTAGAAAGTCTGCATGGGTTTTCCATGAAGTAGAAGACACGTTTTTCATTTCCACCAATAACTTTATGGACTTGGATATTTCAAGTTTGTCGCCCGTGTGGTAGAACGTCAATTGTTCTCAACAAACGTCTCCGTTTGATCGCTGTCGACTTCAGCTGGTCTACCTGACCCTAGAGCAGCTTCCGTGCTCCGGTACAGATTTCTCCAGCGACGAATCTCCAGCCCGAAACTTCACAAACCACTTCTGACACGTTTGCTCAGTCACACCACCTTCTCCACACACTGCACAAATCTCTTTTCGCATTTCAGTGGCATCTTTACCTTTCTTGAAATAATAAAACATAATATACCCAACATGCTGCATATTTTCTTCCACCTTCGACATTAAAACGGCTGCACAAAAACTCATCAATGTTGATGTTTTATTTTAAATTCACGCTGATGTGACAGCTGTCACAATACAGTCTAACAAAATTGTTTTGAATGAAGTTAAAGACATGTAAGCTCCGCGGGAGCCATCATACCAACTTTTTGGTGCACCCAACCTTCAATACTTTGATGACAGGTGTGTGACATTGTGTATCTGCCCAAACCCACAGAACTGTACAGTTGCAGAGTGAAGCTTGATGTCACCTCGCCAGTTAGTAGCAATTCGTCACCATTTGTAACCACTGCCCCACATGAATGCAAAGCGCTTCCAGTCAGGAAGCCGGGGAAAGCAACAGGGGAACTCCCCTTTACGCTCAACTTGTCTGTAAACCTGAAACTGCTCTAGAAAGTAACGTCTGTCAATGTTCTTTTAAAAGCATCACTTAGGTCCTGGCGGGTGTGGCTCAGTGGTTGGAGCACCAGCCTGCAAACCAAAGGGTCCGTGGTTCGATTCCCAGCCGGGGCACATGCCTGAGTTGCAGGCCAGGTCCCCAGCAGGGGGTGCATGGGAGGCCACCGCACATTGATGTTTCTTTTCCTTCTCTTTCTCCCTTCCTCCCTCTCGAAAAATAAATCAATAAAATCTTTTTATAAAGCATGTTTAAAGATTCATATCAATAGATAAATATAATCACGTAGGATAAGAAGTTAAATAGAGCGCAGCATACGCAAAGTAGCTCATAATACTGAGATAACGATGGAGGGTGCCAGGTGCACCCTGGGAATTTGGGGGACGGTTTAGGAAGTGCATGAGTGTCACCATGATGCTGCACACCTGAACCTAACACAACACGATGCTGGATGTAGATTATGATTGAAAACTAAAACTTAAAGAAAATGAAACGAGTCCATGCACAACATACATGGCGGACCTGCACGTGGAAAGCGTATTTTTTCTAGCATCGGTGAAAGAAACCAAAGACCTGATTAAACGGAGAGGTGGCCCGAGTTCCCAGGCTGGAACGTGGCCTGCAGTCGAGCCACCTGCCTCCCCGGACGGACTTGCACCTTCGGTGCCTCCTGACCTGAACCCCAGGAGCACTGCCCGGTCGCTGCCAGTGGGGCCTCTCTGGCCCAGCCCAGGGAGGCAGAGAAATGGCAATGGGCAGAACAGGAGCACAGATGGAAAACACCTCGCTAACTCGGATACTCGCTACAGGACACAGTCATCAGACGGCGGACGTCACCACAGGGCGAGGCCCCCGGCGGAACAGCAAGGCCAGACCCAGACACTCAGTCCTGTGGCTGGTTAATGGCTGGCGAAGGTGTGCCCTGATGTGGGGGAGAGCTGTACACGCAGCCTCAGCACAGAAGCATGGGCTGTCCCCACCCACTGACACACGGGACCTCAACTGCAGCAACCGTGCTCTGCGAAAGGTGTCGCTCAGAGAAGGAAGAGACAAGCTACGAACGAGAAGACATCGGCGCGTCCAGTATCTTGGAGAGAACCTGAGTCCCCGTGTTCGAGGGCACCCGTTTGAGATGCAGAGAGCCCTGAAACCCAGCGGCAAGGAAACGACCTCGTAAAAGTGGACAGACACTTCTCCAAAGACCTGCCAATGGCAAATAAGGACATGGACAGGTACCGGCCCAACCTCGGTATCCCCAGAAAATGCAAACTGACTCCCGCTGAGGCTGCGCGACGCCCACCGGCAGGGCGCTGCCCTGGGCGGTGTTGCCCCCACGCCACACCACAGAGGTGGGACTCGCACACACCTGGGCCCTAAATTTTAACCTGCAAAGGTCAGGCAGTGGGGTCCCTAGGCCCACTCGGAGCCCCAGCTGTCTCCAAGGTCAGCGGAGGGAAGAGAACTCAGTGTGGCATCTGGTCACACTGAAGCCACATCCACATTCCTGTGCGTAAGACTCTTCCCAAAAACCCCAAAGGACGAGCACAAGGGGGGCTCGAGAGGAAGCGGGCAGGGGTGGGGGAGAGAAGTTTCTTTCCCACTCTGCTCTTAAGTGGTTAGTGCTGGACTTTGCCGCACGAGGCACGGCCACTGTTCCCGGTAAAAACGACGAGCAATCCTAACATTCTGATTCCTGCTCCATTTCAACTATGCACGGCACCGCCTACTGCCCGTCCATGACCTCATCACCCCCACCTGGACCTCCCCGGGGGCTGCCGTGGACCTGGGAGCTCCGTGCCCTAAGTAGTGGTGGGACAGACAGAGGAATGGACAGACAGACAAATGAACAGACAGACAGAATGCTCCACTACAGTTTCCCTGCCAGACCCTCGGGAGTTCAATAAACCTGATTTATGCCTCCATCTGCCATCCACGGGCATGTGCCGAACCCCGAGACGGAGTTGCGGACCCATCAGGGCCCAGCGCGGCCCTTGGCCTCCGGGAACAGTGACATGAGAGGCACACGACCCGCTCCCAGCAAAGCCTCCCAGAGGCCGGCCCAGTTCTCCCGGCTAGGTGTGTCTGCCACTCCCGAAGGCGAACGCCACATGGCTTGTCTGTCTCACTAGGGACCAGGGAGTCGGCCCTGGATCACGGGTCGTCTGACCGGACAACAGGGGCAAACCTGCTGCCCGGCCCACGTTTGGGAGCAGGTGTGGCGCCCACAGGGAGGGGCTGACACGGCCGTCGCAGAAGCCACTGCCGGCCAGGACTTGGGGAGGCAGTGAGAGTCGGCCACCCAGGACACCGCGAGCTCAGGCGCCGGACCCAGTGCCTGCCCGGGACACCTACACGCAGCCTCTGTTTCCCCTCCGACCGTGTCCTTCTCTCCAAGGCGTCTGTGAAGGAAAAACCAGCCGAGAGCCGTCAAACGGCAGCAGAGGGAAAGTGGGAATTACGGCGGGTCCCCGGGAGGGAGTATGCCATGGCCACAGGATGCCGTAAAAATGCCACGAAGTGGATGGAGAGCCATGTGAACGCCACCGAAATGGACACTTAACAGGGGTCAAGGTGGTGCACTTCGTGTTATGTGTGTGTTACCACAGTAAAATGGGACTGGGAAGAGAAAGCAAACAAAATGCAGGTGCGCTACAGTTATCCACAGCCCTGGGGCGGGGGTGGGGGGGTGCAAAGCAGGAGAGTTCTCAGGAGACAGAGGGCTGGCCGCAGGGAGGGCGGCGGTGTGTGTTGTAACACAGGGACCTTTCCCCCCGGCACCAAAAGGCTCCATTAGAAGGACGACAGCGTTGTCCTTAAGGTCGTGTCCCAGGCTGTGGCTCCCAGACACGCACACGATACTTTACCCCCTTGAGCTCCGCCTCAGAAAAACTGGCCCAAGACGACGCCCACACTCACCGAGGCCTGTGCGCCGGGTGCCGAGGTCAGCAGGCCAGGGCAGCGCCCGGGGAGCCGGGCCATCCCGCTGGTCCGTGTGGCCTCCTCGCACCTTCCTGCCTGGACACGGCTTCCGGCCTGGCTCTCCACCACCCCGCGTCCAGCTTCCGGGAGGAAAGCCCATTTCCTGGCCCCTTATCACCACACAGCCGGCTGGCGGGGCCCTCACAGTGGATAGACGCCTGTGGTGCAGGACCCTCGGGCCGTTAGATTTGAGGTTCGCCGGTCATTTGAGAGTCCACTGCAAACTGGACGCGCCCACCGACAAAGCACACGGACGACTTCGGAGGCTTCACAAAGCCCACCTTGCCCCCCAAAGCCTGTGCTCGTCAGCTCTTACAGGAGAGAGACGAGAACAGCCTGTGGTCTGAGCCTGACACCCGACGGGGTCAGACGTTCTCTCCAGCTGAGAGGTAATGGCCGCGTCACCACTGCCCAGTCCCGGTGTCCCCATGGGCAGTGGCTACGCTCAGTGTAGGCCTCCCACACCCCCTGCCCACACTGGGAAGGCAGTGGCCAGGGTGGAACTGTGTCCCCGGGAACAGGCCTGGGTGGAGCCCCGGCCTCAGCACCGCAGCACCCGACCGTGTTTGCAGCCGGGGTCTTGACATCGGAATCAAGTTAGTGTAAGGGCGTCAGGGGCCCTAATCCAGGGTGACTGTGTCCCTACAAAAGGGACCTGCGATGCAGGCAGACAGGTGATGCACCTAGGAGTCCAGGATGCCACAGACCACCAGACTCGAGGAGACAGTGGCGCCACCGTGACCTCGGCCCCAACCACCAGCACCGAGGACGTTGCTGCTGTGGAAGCCCCAAGTCTATGCAGTCCCAGCGAACTGGCCCAGCTGCCACAGTGACCAAGATCTAGAACTCGAGGCCTCATCAGGTCTTTCCCTCCCAGAGGAGCAGCAGGAACAGCTCGGTTTGAAGCAAGACTGCAAACACCAGCTGTGCCCAGGCCGCCCCACCAAGGTCCTGACCTGCCCCAGGCAGGGGACAGGCCACCTCCCAAGGCACGCAGGGCCACTAGCTGCCCAGCCTCAGTCCCCACCCCGGCCTCTCCCCTGAGCCCCAAACCCACAGCCTTCTGGATAGCGCCCACCTCCATGTCTAAGGCTGAACTCTCAATTTTTCCGTCCGACCCTGCCTGGTCCCACAGTCCCCTTCTTGGCAAGCAGCACCCCACTCCCTTGAGGGCCCAGACCCAACTGCAGGAGTCTCACGCTGGGCGCCTCTCCTCACCCCACACCCAGTCCATCCCCAAGACCTGCAGTGTGCCCCCAGAGCCACTGAAAATGCCCTGGGTGCAGGGTGCCCCCAGCCGGCACCTCCTCCCAGGTCTGGCCTGGACCTGCCATGGCCTCTTGCCAGGGTGCCCCGCCCTGGATGGCCAGGAAGTCGCAGCCTATGAGACAAGCCTCGTGGCAGGGCCAACCAGAGACAAGCCCAGTGAAGTAGCTCTAGTCACAGCCAAGCTGTGGTTTGAGAAGCTTAAGAACAGCCCTGATCCATGTGGCTCAGTGGCTTGGGTGTCATCCCACAAACCTAGAGGTTCTGGGTTCAATTCCCAGTCAGGGCACATGCCTGGGTTATGGGCTAAGTCCCCAGTAGGGGGTGTGCAAGAGGCAACCAATTGATGTTTCTCTTGCACATCCATACTTCTCTCCCTTTCTTCCCCTCTTTCCAAAAATAAATAACAAATAAATCATTTTTTAAAAAGAGACAGAAGGTTAAAGACACACCTGCCTGATTCTCCCTCCCCAAACACGAGGGAGCCAGCAACCCCCCATGCCCTGTCCTCTGTGGCCCTGCTCGGGGACCACGGCTCCTCCCGAAGGGGCCTCAGCAGTAACCACAGTGGACCGAGGCCACAGGACCATTTCCATCCACCCACTGGAGAACAGCTTTTTAAGTTAAAGCAGCCACAGCAGCTCTGCCTGGGCTCCGTGGGGGCCGCAGCCCCTCCCACCAGAAGCACCAGCAGCTCCGCTACTGAAAGGCCCCGCCGAGGACGAGGGGAAAGAAATGTGCACACAAGTGTCAGCGAGGCGCCCAACTGCCCACGCGTGCAGGGGGGCGACCAGAGCACCGCGAAGCCTGTGTGACCGCCCCGCCGGGGCGGGCAATGGACACAGGCGCGGCAGCGGGGGAAGGGACGGCGACAGCAGAGTTTTGTTTCTTCTTTCTATTCCTGCACGTTTAAAATTTTCCTTAAAAGGCACACGTCGTTCTAAGATGTTTTTCAACAGGTTGCTCTAGAGGGAATTGCCTCGTTTCCTGGACCAGGCTCTGTGCCCGAGGGAGGCCCCTGGGCGAAGGGGAACAGCGCAGGGCCGGCCTCAGGGACTCAGAGGGGCTTACAGCAGACCTGAGCCTGAGCTGGGTTCCATCCTGTCCCCATTAGACAGGGACAGGGACAGCTAAGTGGTGACGGACAGGCCATCACCCTTAGGTGGCACCGGAGAGCTCAGGGCAGCGAGCTGCATGACGGAGGTCAGGGCACGTGTCCTGGCCCTGCTCCCGACTGTCCTCCCGCCGGGGACCAGCAGGGCGTCTCCCTCCTCAGAAGTGGGGAGCAGGCCTGGGCCTCTGCCTCCCCACCGCACGTCTGGGGGGCATCTCCCAGGAATGCAGGTTAACAGGGCTCCCCTACATCACACTCGGATGGAGCCATTTTCTTCCCCCCAATGCCACCGGCGTCCATGCCCGACCAGGTCCCCCTCTGTCCCTGGCGGTGAAACTATCAGAGGACCTGTGAGCTCCCCGCACCGTGAGCCGCCCCGCAAATGTGAAACGACAGCGGGCGGGCCACACTGCCCAGAGAAGGATGAGGAGCAGTGAGGGGCGCAGGAAGCGGCGGCCCACTGACCTTCTCCAGCTTCTCGAAGTGCTCGCGCAGGAAGCGCATGGGGCGCTCGGGCTTGGCGACGCACAGGTGCACGATGCAGTCCTTCAGCACCTGCTGGACGCTGTGCCTCTGGACGTACAGCTCGCAGCCGCGCAGGCTCTCGTCCTCCTCCAGCGGGTGGGCTGGCGGCGAGGCCATGGTGCCCTGCGTCCTGCCGAGGAAAACACCCGGGGCCTCAGCGCCGGCGGCCGGAGCCCCCGACCTGAAAGCGCACGCAGCTTACACGTGTCCTGAGCCTGGTCGACGTGGTCAAAAACAGTGACCAGCACGACGTGGTCCACACACTTTATTTTGCGCCGCCGGAGGTCTGGCTGAATTGTCACCAGAAGGCCAGGCCTCACTTCTAGAGAGATCCCTGTGGGGGCCTAGGGGGACCCTGGGTCACGTGCAGGGCTGAGAATGCCCCTGCGTGTCCGGCCGCAGCTAGGCGGGCCCACCTGCGTCCACCTCCCCCCTTTGTACGGGCAGCTGCGTGATAGGTAAATAGAGTCCGCTGGCCGGACCGCCTGGGGGTCCCTCTGCGAGATCTCGGGGAATGGGAGGTGGAGGGGGCCTGTCACAGGGCTTGGTGGAGCGGGACGCTTATTTGAAAAAGAAAAAGGAAAACAATCGCGACCAGGCTGAGGGGCTTCTGGAAGAAGGGACCCTGGAAGACAAAGGCGGCGGTTCTCAGCCTGGCGGTTTCAGACCCGGGCGCAACGACCAGCCGGGAACTGGCCGCATCCGCGGCGGGGACTCAGGCCCGCCCCCGCCCCCAGGCCTCCTCACCACCTCCCCAGCCTCCGCGCTCCCACCCAAGGCCCGCACCTCCTCTCTGCTCCTCCTCCCCGCCCTCCTTCCCGGTGCCTCTGAGCCCCTCCCCAGGCTCCGCAGACCCTGGTCCAGGCACCGGGGCAGGGGCTCCCCAAAGACCCACGTTTCCCAGAGCCTCCCAGCCGCCGAGGCTCCCAGCTCCAGGCAGTCCGGATGCCGGCGCACACCCTACCCCAGACCCGCTTACCTGGGTGCGCTGTGCCCGAGGCTGGAGGCGGCTGCGCGGGGACGCGAGGACGCGGGACGAGGGGAGGGTGAGCGGTCCCCGCACTGCAGCAGCACCGCCTTCCTTCCGCCAGCCCGTCTCGGCGCCAGCTCCCCCCACCCCCATCACAGGACTCCTGCCACCGCTCCCCGCCCGCACCCAGGTCTGTCTCCCCCGCTCCAGCTTCCCACCTTATCTCCCCAAGGACCAGCCTCTTCCTCCCCGCTCGGCATTCGGGGGCGTATTACACAGAGCCCGGCCAGACCTCCAGAGCCGTGGGCAACCAGGCCAGGACCACCGCCCTGCCCTCTGCTGCCCGCAGACCCTGTGCGTGCCCGCCCTGCCCTACCTGGCTGCAGCCCTGGGGCCCGGAGGTGCCGGCAGTGCAGCCCCCAGTGAGAAGCCCCCAGGACTGTATGAGACCAGCGTTGTCTAGGGCGCAGCCTCGGGGTTTTTCACTGTAGGCCTGGGATGTGAAATTTCACAGAGTTTGCCACATAATGCCCAAGTCCGCTTTAATGAAGCATCACCCTGGCAAGGGTTTGGGGGACGTGCTCCCCACGGTGGCCACCAAGAAATTGGGGTGCTCAGGTGTGCTCAGAAGCAGGTGCTCCCAGCCCTGCCGGCGGCCCTCAGAGGAACCAGGTGGCCAGGCCTGGACCCCAGACCCACAGGCATGGGAGAGCCTGGGTGTGTGGCTTTAAGTCACCAGGTCTGTGGGAGTTTGTTAGGCAGCAGCTGATGAATAATTCATGGGGGAAGCAAGAAGAAGAGGCCCAGCTTCGCGGCTGGGCTGCCAAACGTTTGGGAAGGCAGCTGCAGGGCTCCCATTCCCACCGGACCACCGGTCCCCCAGTGGGCTGGGGCTGGGAGGCGGGGCTCTGGGGTGCGGCCCTCATGAATGGCATTAGTGTCCTTACAAGAGACCCCAGGAATTTCCCGCTTCCCTTCCACCACTTGAGGACACAGCAAGGAGGATCCGTCTAGGACCCAGGCAGGGGCCTCACCAGCCTGGAACCCGCAGCACCCAGTCTCTCTGGCCTGCAGCCTCGGTCTGGGAGACAACTGTCCGTTCTGTACGAGCCCCCGGGCTGCAGCCCGAGTGGACTCAGGCAGAAGGGAGCGGGCAGTACAGAACGCCACACGTGAACTATATGGTAAAGATAAAGATTAGCCCTGACCAGGGTGGCGCAGAGTGGTTGGTGTCGTCCTGCAAAGTGAAAGGTCGCCAGTTTGATTCCTGCTCAGGGCACAGGCCTGGGTGGCGGGTTGAGCCCCCAGTCAGGGTGCGTGCGAGAGGCAGCCAATCGATCTTTCTCTCTCACATTGATGATTCTCTCACATCTCCCCGTCCCTACCACTCTCTCTAAAATCAAAAGTAAAATAAAAGTAAAAATATTATGAAGGAACAGACATTTAGGGATCAGAACAGAGAGTCCACAAATAAATCCCAATATTGACAGGGATTTTCTTTTGACAAAAGCAGCATCGGAGGGGACAGTGGTAACTAAACCACAGTTTGCTGAGAATCCAGAAGATGGTGAGGAGAGAGTCAAGTTGAATCTGTGTGGCTCTTTGTACAGATGAATTGAGATTTCAATACAAATGCTGACACTGTAAATTCAATAAAAGCTGGGAAAATGTTGTACAGTCTTGGGGCAGAGGACACCTTTCTAAGCATGACACAAAATCCAGGAACCAGAAAAATGTAGAACTTGGCATTTTCAGCTACGTAACAGTGAACATTTTCTGCCTTAAGAAATCCATTCAAAAGGCAAACGAACTCTATTGACAATACCCATCACAAAGGGCTGCTAGCTCCCTCAGCACGGAGACACCCAACCTCACTCGCAACGAGGACACTGCAGGCTAAACCCACACACTGACACTATCTTCTACTTGTCAGATGAGCGAAGCCCCCAAGTCTGAGACTGCTGTGTGGCCGAGGTGTGGGAGACGGGGCCCCCCAAACGCACCGGCGATGGGGGGCGGAACACAGACGGGCGTGGAGTGCGACCTGGGAGAATCTTCTCAAACGCTGAAATGCACGTGTCACCTGAGCTGGCAGTTCCACTTGGGTTCGTTCATCAATAATTGTTTATCTTTGGGGGTTTTGTTTTTTACATGTATTTTATTGATTATGCTATTACGGTTGTCCCATTTCCCCCTCTTTTTCCCCCTCTTTTTCCCCCTCTGCCCTGCACCCACCACCCCCGTATTGCCCCTCTTAGTTCATGTCCATGAGTCGTACTTATGAGTTCTTTGGCTTCTCCATTTCCTACACTGTTCTTAACCTTCCCGTTTTCTACCTACCATCTATACTACTTATTCTCTGTACCTCCCCCTGCCCCTCCCCTCCCCACTGATAATCCTCCATGCGATCTGTTTCTGTGGTTCTGGCTCTAGTTGTTTCCTTAGTTTATTTTTGTTTTGTTTTTTTAAGGAATGAATTTTTTAAAGGTTTTATTTATTTATCTTTAGAGGGTAAGGGGAGAGAGGGAGAGAAATATCAGTGTGTGGTTGCCCCTTGCACACCCCTCTCCAAGGACCCAGCCCGCAACCCAGGCATGTGCCCTGACTGGGAATCGAACTGGCAACCCTTTGGTTCACAGGCCGATGCTCAATCTACTAAGCCCCACCAGCCAGGGCATTTTTTAAAAAATTCTTGTTCCCTCATTCTGTTCTGCTTAAATGTTTATTTCTTCCTTCTGCTCCAAATTGTTGATTTGAGTTCTGGTTTTCCTCCCATCACTATTGGTTCCTTGTACATTTTTCTTTATTTCACTTTTTATAGCCTTCACTTTTTCCTCTATTTTGTGACCATACTTAACCAGTTCTGTGAGCATCCCAATTACCAGTGTTTTGAACTGTGTGTCTGATAGGTTGACCGTCAATTAGTTGTATTTTTTCTGAAGCTTTGCTCTATTCTTTCATTCGGACCAATTTTTTTTTGTCTTGGCGTGCCTGTTATATAGTAAGGGGTGGAGCCTTAGGTGTTCACCAGGGTGGGGCAACCCACTTCGCTGGGTTGTGACACTGTACAAGGGGGAGGGGTTGGGGAGGGGTCAGAGAGGGAACAGTACTGCTTGCTCAGCTTTCTGCTGGCTTTCAGTCCTCTCCCCCACTTCCCACAAACAAATTGGGCCCTTCTGGTGCTAATTCACAAGTGGGTCGGTTTGGGTGCATTTTAGGACCCTGTGGGTCTCCCCAGTGAACTCTCCTGTGAGGCTGGGAGTTTCTCCTGCCGCCTCAACCCCCACAGGTGTTTTCAGTCAGAGGTTTTGGGTCTTTATTTCCTACTGGAACCCTGGATTGCAGATCTGTCTCTCTCCCCAGTTGTTCCTCCCAGCTTTTCCACAGGCAAATGTGGGACCACCCTGGTCCTCCAGCTGCTGCCTTGCCGAGAGTCCTCTCTACCCCTCCTACTGTCTGGATAAATGTTTAACTCCTTGGTTGTTGGACTTCTACACAGTTTGGTTTTCTGGCAGTTCTGGTTGTTTTTTGTTTTTAAATTTGTTGTCCTTCTTTTGGTTGTGCGAGGAGGCACAGTGTGCCTCCCTACGCCTCCATCTGGGCCCAAAGTATATTTATCAATGACTTGATCAAATGTCTCAGACCTCTTCACCATCCCTATGGCTCACATTTTCAAAAGGCAAGTCCAGGGACACACATGCTCAGCCAGCCAAGGGCCCAGCCACTGCCCACACCCTACTCCTCACAGCCGCCCCCTCAGATCACACCTCCAGCGTCTCCCCAGGAAGCCTGCCCCTCAGAGTCACAACTGCATCTGCCTGTGTGTCCCCTGATCACCTCTTTCCCCACCGGTCACCAGCAGCAGCAGACGGGACGGTGGCACCTGCTTTGGCGCACCGCTGAGTCCCGGGCTGCACGTGCCTCCCACGGTGTTTGCTAGACAGAACAGAGTCAAGCGAGTGTTACTTGCCAAAATCGTTTTATTGCATTGTTTAAACACTTCATACTACCCGGAACAGGATGGACATCCCCTCTTTTTAATCTATGCTCACCAGCTCTTTATTCCTCCTCTTCCTCTTCCTCGGAAGAGGAGGGGGCACATTCTCCACCCAGACACACACTCGGACAGAGCTGCCCCATCTGACAACTGCAGAGGTCTCCAAGTTCTGTGTCTGTGCTAAGATGCAAACCCAGCATCGCCACCATCACCACTAGTGTCCAGTCCTGTGGGATGGCAGAGACACATGCAGGCAACAGGGCCCGGGAGCAGCCTGGGCAGGAGAGACCCATCCTCTCTTCCAGGTCCTGCTCTCCACCTGCTGTCCCCAAACGTGCTTACCAGGGTCTGGCCTCTCCCACTTCAAAGCAGCTCTGGCAACTAGAATTTCCAGAAATGTATCTTCTCACTATTCAGGAAGCCTGAAGTCCGACATGGAGGTGTTGGCCCCCCTGAGGGTGGGTGTCAGGGACTCTTCCAAACCCCCGTCCTCGTGGTCGCCTGGTGCTCACCCTGCGTGGTGTCTGTCCCCGATGTCCCCCTTCGATAAGAACACTAGTCCCACTGCATGAGGGCCCGTCCTAACGACCTAGTTGGAACTTTTGGATATCAGCCCAGGCCCCATCTCTAACTAGGACCTCCTTTCCGGTCCTGCGGGTCAGGACTCTGAAACCGATGTGCACTTTGGGGATCGCAGTTCAGCCCCTGACACTCCCACCGCAGGGAGCCTCTTCACGGTCCATCGCCCGGTGAGTCCTGCAGACAGATCCATTTCCAAGGCCCGTCTCAGAAGGAAAACACAGGTAGCGCTTACTGGGGGCGACCCAAAGACACTCACAAAACATGAGGATCATCTATTGGCACCGCTACTGTACCAGACAAATGTCAGCAACAAAGAGAGGCCACGTTCAAAGTAAAGCTTCAGGGGACAGCGCTGTGCTGTTTGGAAACTCATTATACGCAGTGTCTCGGGCGCGAGGTGGAGGCTGCCTGGGCCGGGCTCGCCGCCCTCCGGGGGCCCGGGCGGCAATGCCCTGGCGCGGCGGGGTCTGGCGTTCGAGGACGCGCAGCAGGGCGGTGCAGCGGGCCTCGCGCGCGCCAGGCCACCTCCCCTAGTCGCGGGGCCGCGCCGGCGCCGGGGAACTTCGCGTCCTGTCCGCGCTCCCGGACGCCAATAAAGTTGCGTTCCGAGCCCACCGGAAGACGGGTCGTCATCCGCGACGCGCCGTCGTAAAAGCGCCGGTCTCCCAAGGCGACCGGTAACGCGGCGAAGATGGCGGCTCTGGTGGCGGCGGAGGCCGCGGCGCCCGCAGGCCCGGCAGAGCCGGCCGAAGCGGCGGAGCTGAGCCGAGCCCTGAGCCGCCTGCTGCCCGGACTGGAGGCCGACAGCAAGCTGGGCCGGCGGCGTGCGCTCGAGGCGCTGCAGCGCGCCCTGGAGGCGGCGCGGCCCGACGCGCCAGCCGCCGATCCCGCCGCCTTCCAGGGCCCCTGGGCCCGCTTGCTGCTGCCCCGGCTGCTACGCTGCCTGGCGGACCCGGCCGAGGGCTGCCGCGCGCTGGCCGCGCACCTGCTGGCCCTGGGCCTGCGGCGTGCTGCGCGGCCCCGCGACGCCCTGCCGCGCCTGCTTCCCGCGCTCGCCGCGCGCCTGGCAGGCCCCGATCCCGCGCGCCGCCCGCCGCCTGAGGCTTGCGAGGAGTTGCGTCTAGCGCTGGTGCAGCTGCTACGGCTGGCGGTGGACCTGGGCGGTGCAGCGCTCGCGCCCCACCTGGACGACGCGGTGCGCGCGCTGCGCTGCACGCTGCTCGACCCCTTCTCGGCCGTGCGTCGCGAGAGCTGCGAGTGCGCGGCGGTCCTGGCGCGCGCCACGCCAGGTGTCTGTTTCGCGGGGGAGAGGAGACAGGACTGCGGGCGGGGGTGGGAGGCGGATCTCGCCCACACACCTGTCTGGGCCGCCCCTGCTTGGTCCCCAACTGCAGTCCCTTCTTGGGCTTTCTTTCCTCCTAACGCTTTCACTTCTCACGGTTTTCAAAATGCGGAGCCCACTACTAAGTTCACGTGGGCCCGCCCCTCAACAGGGGACTAACCCAGATTCTGAAAGGACCACACTTGGACACACACTGCTCAGGCCTGTCCCTTCTTTTCATCCCCAGTTCTCTCTGGTGCCCACCTGCCCTCTGACTTACTGCCCTCTGGCCTGGACTGCTCTCCTGGCAAATGGAGGGAGCTCGATTTTCTCCTGCTTCCCACCCATCTCTTCTCCGTTATTTTAGAAACACTAATCTGACCCCGACTTGTCCCTTTCCCCAGCATCTGCCTCCCCAGTTAGTCCTGCTCATGGCATCAGGCTGGAGTAGGAAGTGGGAGGGGAGCACCTGCCCAGTCCTGCTGGGAAGGCTTTCAGGAAGAGAGAAGCCTTAGGGGGAACCTGGGGGAAGGGCGGTCAGGGGGGACCCAGCCTTGAGGAATAAGCTTGGCAGATAAGGAGTGAAGAGGAGGCCAGAGGGAAGAGGGCGGGGCAGGCGGGAGTAGAGTGTGGAATTAAGTGCCGCAGGGAGCCCTGGAGGGTGTGGAGGAGGGGCCTGTCCTAGGGTGCTGGCGGTGAGAGGTTGCAGAAGCCGCTGGGGACATAACTAGTCCAAATTTAGATGCTGTTGGCTTGGACTTAGGCAGGGCAGTCGGCTAACAGACAGGAAAATGGGCCCACCATTGTGAAGGGAGAGCCGGCAGGATCTCCTGTGGAATTCAGTGAGGGTTGAGAGAGAAGTAGACGAAGGAAGAATGGGGCGCTAGGTGGTGTTGTTTCCAGTGTGGATTCAAGTGGTATGGATTCCCAGGGAGCAGGGCATAGGATGGGCTGCAGAAGGCCGGTGGGGGTCACAGCTGTTAACGTCTTCCCCTCGGCCCTCCACCGCCTGTCCCTGGTTCTGCACAGCTGGGGCAGGGGGGCTGCTGCTCATGCTTCCTGGCCACAGTGGGTGTGCTCCCTCAGTGGACTGGGGGTTTCGGAAGGGAGGGGCCATCCGTGCTGTACCCCCAGCATGTGGCACGGTGCCCACTGCCCTCTGGGAGGACGGGCTCCTTGAGTGCTGAGTGAAGGGCTGTTTCTTCTGCTTAAAGCACCACCCCACCCACCACCACCCTGGGCCTGCCTGCCCGGGGTGAGGGCCTGTCCTCTGGAGCCTATCACCCTGGGCCGCAGGAGAGTGAGAATGTGCCCAAAGAGTCGCTGAAATAGCCATCTAGAGATGGGTCTCAAGTCAGGGCAGAGCGGCACAACTGGATGGTCAGCCTGGCCAGGCCAAGGACCCGCCCTAGTGCTGGGCATCTGCCTCTGGGCACAGCCAGAGGCTGGGGTGTGAACTGTGTTATCCTGGCTCGGCGTCCTCCTTTTGGTCAGCCTCCCCCTCAGGCCCTCCCCTTCCTTACCGTCAGTTGTGGCCATTTGGGTCACGTGCCCGCTCCTGTGTCGGTCCCCACACCGAGCCACAGGGACCTGGGTGGGGAAGAAGGAGGCCCCAGGGGCCATGGCCTGTCCTGGGTGCCCCGGAGTGGGCCGGGCGGAGGGGCCTGGGAGCAGCCCTGCTGACCGTGGCCTTCTCTGCCCTGCAGACCACTTCCACATGCAGTCGGAGTCTCTTGTCGGCCCCCTGATGCAGAGCATCTCCCACCAGCACTGGAAGGTCCGTGTGGCTGTCATCGAGGCCACCGGCACGGTGATCCAGTTTGGCAGTGGGAAGTCAGTGGATGACGTGCTTCCTCACTTTGCTCAGCGGCTCTTTGATGACGTCCCCCAGGTACTGGGAACTGCAGGGTGTGGGACTGTGACACCTCTCCCTCTTCTTTGTTAAGGTGTTCCCATGGCACCAGATGTCCTCGCCTTAGCCCCAGGGGCCCCGGCTCGCTTCTCTGGGACACTGGGTATAGGTGAGATGTCGTGACCCAGTGTTGTTGGAAAGAAACATCGATGTGTGGTTGCCTCTCACATGCCCCCTGTTGGGGACCTGGCCCGCAACCTGGGCCTGTGCCCTGGGTGGGAATCAAACCTTCGACCCTTGAGTTTGCAGGCTGGTGTTCAGTCCACTGAGCCACACTGGCCAGGACCATGTGTTGTTCTTCATCCCGGGGGGTGGAGGAGGACCCTTTCCTCCCAGGAGAAGAGTCTTGGCCTGCAGTTTGCAGAAGCGTCTTTGGTGAACCCCCACTGGGCAGACTTAGTGAGGAAGTCGCTGTGGCTGGGAGTCCGGGTCGGGGAGAAGCGGAGGGACTTGTTCCACTAGGCTTTGGGTCTTGCTGGCCTGCAGACAGATGCAGAGGGAGTGCTGACTTTCTTGTTGGCAGGAGCCATGTCAGAGGACATGTTGGCTTCTCACACATCACAAGGAGCAGGGGGAAGGCTGCCCCCACCCATGGAAGGAAACACGAAGGGGACCTGTGTGTGGGGGGGGGTGCTCCCAGGCAGGGGTCCCCCAGGAGGAAGGTGCCTTGTGGCCTCTGGGTGCTGGCAAGGCCCCACCCCTGGCAGTGGAGGAACTCTCAAAATAGTTCCATGTTAACATACAGATGTACCAGTGACCCTGAGAAACAGCCATGAGCAGCTCTCTGCACCTGGCGTGAATGCCGTGCTCCCTAAATAGCGTCCCTGTGAGGGCAGCACTCTATACTCGACCGACTGTGGAAAGTGTGAGTCACAGGCATGTGGCCCTGGCCCCAGCGTCGGGAGGGTCTGTGGCCATCTGAGAGCCGGGACACCACCAGATGGCTGTGTGCCCTTGAGGTCACTGTTCTGTTTTCCGTGGAGACAACGTTTCTGGAACTCCAGTGTATGACTCTTGCTACTTACTGTTCCAGGAGTGTTCTCGTGGTCGAAACTGTTCTCACTGACTCACAGCTTCTCCAAACTCGGCCTCCTGGGCTGCATGACCTCCAGTTCGCACCAGCAGGCCTGCCAGGAGGTCACTGGTTCCATGTGCGCTCCCCGCGCCGGGCAGGACCTGGGACGCTGCCACTCTCACAGATGGGGAGCGTGGGCCGTCCACTCCTGGTACTCTCCCCTGCAGCTTTGTCACCTGGTCTCCAGGACATGTCTGAGGACGTGGAAGGGGGGCACCGCGCTGGCTTTCTGGCCAGAGGATTGGTTCCCACACAGGAGGCTGCAGACACCTTCTAGCTTTGCAGTGCGAGGTTCTGAGGGTCAGGCCCACGCCCAGAGGACTCGGGCTGGGGCGTTGACCGTGGCCCCAGCCTTTCCTCTCCAGGCCTGAGATGGCCCGCGAGCTGAGCGAGTGCCCGAAGTGGCTGCGGGAAGGGGAGTGGGGCAGCCGTGCCCGTGCCCACACGCACCCCCGGCGCTGTCCTTTCCTGGCTGAGCCTGTGCTTTCTGCCCCTGGCAGGTGCGACAGGCGGTGACACGCGTGGTGGGGGGCTGGCTGCTGGACCTGCGGGACCGGTACTCCTTCTTCCACAAGCTCTTCCCCTTGCTGCTCAGCAGCCTCGACGACGAGATGCCGCACATCGCGTGAGTGTGACGCGCGTGTCCTAGTGCCGCTTGTCAGCGGCCTGCCCTTCCTGAGCCGTCACCAACATCAGCTGTGGCCTTTGCTCGGAGCCTCTCACGGAGCCACCTCGTGCCTCACCCCCTGCGGTCAGCGGGCTGTGAGAGCACAGGCCCAAACGGGGCTTGGGGCTCAGACGTGGCTCCCCTGGGTAAGCCCTGGGCCCCGTGTGCGCCCAGGCAGCTGTCGGTGAAGCCGTGAGACGCCCAGCAGGGCTCCTGGCAAGTTCTCAGGACGCTCTCAGCACCCGGCCCTCCCTAATGGGGTCTGTCTGTCCTGTTGGTCTGTCCTGCAGGGATGAGGCCGCCAGCCTCTGGGAGAAGGTGGGGCTTCAGTGGCAGAAGGAGAATGAGGAGGACCTCAAGGACAAGCTGGACTTCGCCTCTCCCCCTCCTGCCCATCACCCCTCTCCAGGTGCGCGGCCTCCCCCAGGACAGTGACACGGGGGGCAGCCAGGGAGAGCCTCTGTCCACGCAGGAAGCAGTGCCCGGCCCAGGCTGTGGCAGCCAAGGGCTGGGAGGCTCTGTGGGCAGGACGAGCATTCTCAGCCTCCCCGGTGGCCTGTGGTGTCCTCCACACCCTGGGCCAGCTCTGTCCTGAAGGGGCCTCTGCAGCGGTCTGAATGGCCACAACAGATGTGCCCCTGGCTCCCACGGAGACCCTGCCCAGGTGCGTCCCTAGTATGAGGACGTGGTCAGCTGGGAAGCACTGGCCGCTTCCCAGTGTGTGTGGCCAGAGTCAGCCCCTGCACACAGGTCTTGTGGCCTGTGTCCTTCTCTGGGGCAGGTACTGAGCAGTGGAGTGGTGGGCGCGGGGCTGGCGTGTGCGCGCGTGCGTGTGTGTGTGTGTGTGTGTGTGTGTGCACGGACTCACAGGCTATCCCAGGCACTGCGGCCGGTGGCAGGTGAGGTGTGTCGCCTCCTTGTGGGTGTGTGGCAGGCTGAGTGGCGGGCGTGGCCTGTGACGCCCTCGCAGGGCGCTGAGCGTCTCTCCGTGGGCTTGCTTCACACGCTGCACACAGGCTGCCTTCGGTCCAGCCCGGTGCTCCGTCCCTGTTCCGAGTCAGGTCAGCCCGTCTCCTGCCGAGGGGTGTCAAGGCTGCCGTGCACATGCTGGGCCCAGTCCTCTGCCAGGCTCATGAGGTGCTGCTCTCCTCTCCTGTCCTCAGCTCGTCCCCACCTGGCGGCCCCAGTGGGCACTGTGCTCCCCCTCCCCTGCCTCCCATTCCTGCAGCACACACTGTGCTGCTTCTGAGCAGACCCTCGACTCCCTGTTTCCCTCCGCGAGGGCGGACTTGTCTGTGCCTGCAGCGCGGCACCTGGAGCAGGTGTGCCTGGACCAGTTCGGGGTCGGCTCAGCAAGTACCTGTGAGATAGATGGTCTCACTGTGGCTGAAGTGCAGACTCAAGCAGCTGGACAGTCAGCTCTGACGAGGTGATGACTCGCTGCTGGGAGACACTGGGCTCCAGCCTCGGGCCTGCTGACCGAGCAGGGTGCAGCCGGTCAGGTCCCATCAGGCCCATCTCCCCGTTCCCCAGGGAATGAGGCTTGAGCTTCCTGTCACAACAGTGGGATAAATCCCCAGCTCTGGAACAAAGCCGCGTGCTGGGAAGACGGGCCAGTAGTCACCTGACCAAATGGCCCGCCAGGACAGGCCACACAGCTGTCTGTGGCTGTGCCTGCCTGAGGTCGGGGGCGACTGCCTTCCGGGGCCCTTCTGCTTTGAAATCACCCTCCTGTTGAGACGGTTTTCCCTGGTGACGCTCGAGTGGAGAGGAAGCCTCTCTTCACAGCGGCGCGTGGCTTGCCCGACCTCATGACACAGGAGAACAGAGTTGGTGGCTTTAACTTGCGGTGGCAGGGAGTGGCGCCCTAGGGCCGCCTTTGTGCCCACCTGTCCCTGGGGCCCGGGCTGGCCTCTCCTGCTGCACGTGTCACCCGGGCGCCCACATAGGAGCCATCAGAACCACTGTGTGGAGAAGATGGGGTGGGGGGGTGAGGCGAGGTGTCCGGGGAGGCAGGGTCCGAGCCCCAAGTGTGAGGAAGATGGCGACTGCCTACTGTGGGCAGCACCCTTCTCGGGCGGCCGGCCCTTCAGCACGTGTGCACAGGGAAGGGCAATCGCTAGGCCTGTCTTGGGGGCCCTGCCTTTGTGCATGGCGGAGCCGCCTGCCAGTGGTGCAGGCTTGCGAACTCAGTCAAGGCAGACCTGCCGCTAGACTTGGGTAAACACATTAGGAAATCGATGGTCTGTTTTTCTGCTTGCAGTTAAGTGACGTTTAGTCTGACTGTGCAAACCATGAGCTGAGTTAATGTTCCATATGCTTCTGACCTTCCCGTCTGGGTTTCCTGCTGACCCTTCCTTGACCCAAGAGACAGGAGAGACATGCTTATAAAACAAAGTGAGGGGGTGGGGGTGAGGCCCTGAGCTCCCCGAGACTGCTGTGCCCGCACCGAGCTGGGCCTGAAGGCCTGGCACGTGCGCTGTGGCCCGCAGTCCTCCAAGGGAGGCCCGCACCCGGACGCAGCAGGGACCATGCAGAGCACGTTGGGAGTGCGGGGCTGGCCTGTGACGGGCCCACACAGACCTGCAGTGAAGCCCCGAGTCAGCCGCTCTGAACGTGACTTCAGAGTTAGGAGACATTACTTGGTAGTGGGAAAACGGGGTAGAACACAGGAGGCAGTGTCACCATGAACACTCAGCAGGGTCCTCGAGCTTATGCACCAGGGCAGGAGGAGAAAAGCACAGATCAGCACCGGCAGCACCACGGCTGTGCTGGGCACTGCGCGTGCCACGAGCAAGGCTCTGTGGCCATAGGCGGCAGGCAGACACTCGGTGGGGCCCCCTGTGCTCTGAGTGGGGCTCTCTCAGGCGCCCCATGAGGGCGGTGCTCTGTGCACACGGTCTGTATGCACCGAGCAGGCGCTCTGCGTGCAGGGCGGGTGATGCCCTTGAGTTTGGTGGTTGGCCGCCACCGCCCTGCAGAACATGCCGACACACGCAGACCTGCCCACTGGCAGGTGAAAGTGTGGTGAGGGGCTGTCGGAGCGGAGACTCGGGCGTGGCGCTACTCACCTGGGTGCCACAGGTGCATCCTTGGGACTTACATCCACTGCTACTGCTGCAGGGTAACGGCCTCACGTCGTTTCTCAGCCAAAAGTAGTCGACACCACAGAGGAGTTGGGAGGTGCCAAGAACGAGACCTCCAGGCACCACGAGGGAGAGTGGCGTGATGACTCCCGAGACGGCTTCGCTCATTCCCTGTGTGCTCCCAACACCCACCTTGGTGCGCAGCAGAACAGAGACTGGCTACCTGGGGCATTCGAGTCGCGTCCACAGCAGGGTATCGCAGTGGCCCAGCTGGACATGGCTGGGGGCCACTGGCAGAGGCGTGGACGCGTGCGTCGTGGTCTCTCCACACACGGGAGTTACTTGGCCCTAAAAGGGATGAAGTTCTGGTGCAGTGTCACAACGTGGATGAATCTCAGGAACATCACACCTCATAAAAGCAGCTCATGTACTTGAAATATCTGGAAAAGACCGAACTGTAGGGGGCGAGGCAGGGGTGTGACTGCAGACGGCTCTGGGCGAGGTGTGGGCGCCCCAAAAGGCTGTGACAGTGCTGGTGCAGCTCTGCCAGTTGGCAGACCCTCAGCATTTGTGCAAGTTTCCATGATGGGACGAGGCGTGTCTCCGTGATGCTGCTCCAGCAAACCTACCAGGCCAGGCCCATGTGGGCAGGCTGTGCGGTCTCTGGGCATTTCCTAAGGACTCCTGCGCCCAAGGAGGAGACAGGGACCCAAGGCTGCAGACACAGGTGAGCTCTTGCCCTGTGCAGACAAATGCCACTGGCAGCCAGCCACCACCTGGGCCATAGCTCTGACTTCACCCCTGAATTTCCCTGAAAGGAAGCGCTTCCCTGAGAAGCGAGGAGCCCCTGGGATGCCGCCCATGTCACTGGCTGACAGTTGGGCTGCCCCTGCGTGAATCTGCCCCTGGCCACTGCACAGGCGCCCTGCATGGTAAGCAGTCTTTCCACGGGTCCCGTTGGTTCACAGCAGCTTTCATGCGCAATAAGGTGTCATTTGTTTACACCTCAGGTTCTGTTTACTGTCTGCGTGACATGGGGAAGCCCCTGGGATTCACACTCGGGAGAAAGAAGGCTCAGTTCTGCTAAACTGGACGTTCAGGAAACCATGACCTCAGACATTTTGGTGCCAGAAGTTTGAACTCACCCTGAGGATGGAGCCGGAGTGGTTGAGATCAGCTGGTGTGACAGTGCCTGCTCTGCTGTGAGCACAGCCTCGCGCCTGCCGGCCAGATGACGGCAGACGTGCGAAATGCACATAAAGACAAAACGCAGCTGCGCCTGGGCTGGAAAACCCACTGGGTGAGGGGGCTCGGCTGCGGCTCTGCTGCTCAGGGCAGAGGCCAGGAGCCCCGGTGTGGTTTCAGCGCGAAGATGACAGGAAGGAAGAGAGGCTGCCGTGGGCGTGTACACGTGGTCAGCGGACATGGGAGGAAGGTCCAGAGCCAGGGCGGTGAGCAAGGACAGGACCCAGTCCACGAGTTAGGCTCAGATGTGACCAGGACCCACCGTGGACCCAGAGGGGAGACTGAAAGCTGTGGACCCTCGAGGACAAGCCTGCATGGCCTTCCGTCAGGGGAGCTTCCGTAGGCCCGTCATCAGAAGCCCCCTCCGTGAGAGAATGACCTGACAGGTCAAACTTCATCAACATGAATCCCCCCCCTTCCCCCGTGAAAACCTCATTCAGAGAATGAAAGAAGCCACGGGCTGAGAGAACATATTTGCAAATTATACAGGCAGGGACTTGTGTCCAGAATAGAGAGAACGCTTAAAACCCAACGGTCAGGAAACAGTCCAGCCCTGGCCAGTGGGGCTCATGGGTTGGAGCGCAGTCCTGTAACCGCAGGCGGGTGGGTCTAGTCCTGGGTCTGGTGTGTGGGAGGCATCTGATGGATGCTTCTTTCTGGCATCAACGTTTCTCTCCCTCTGTCTCACAAAGCAATGAAAAAACTGTCCTCTTGTGAGGGTTAGAAAAAAGAAAGTCTGATTTTTTTTAGTAGCCAAAAAGGGCTTGACAACACTTCGCTGATGAAGACATGCAGCTGCCAGGTAAGCAGATGAGAGGGGCTCCGTGATTCATCATTAGAGAAAGCAGGAGGAGCACTGGCCACTGTGCTGGCGCCCACCCCAGACCGCGCACGGGGGGCACTGGGGAGGACTCCGAGGAGCCGGAGCTCACACCAGCGGGATGAGACCGTGCGGCCACTTTGGAAAAGTTATTTGGCAGTTCATTAAACTCTACAAATTCGCACTGGCCACCGGCCTGAGGGCACCCACCCCGACACGTGAGAGCAGTGTCCACAGACCCGCCCTGGCGGTTGTCGCAGCCTCAGCCCTGCCAACAGCTCGGGAGCCCTGTGTCCTGGAGGGCTGCTCAGCCCTGCAGGGTCTCAGATGACTGCAGAGTGAAAGAAGCCAGGTGAAAAGGCACATGCTGTGCTGTCTGCCTGTCAGGAGCATCCTAGAGCGGGCAGTTTGCGATGCCAGCAGGTCCGGGGGCTGCGTGGGGCAAGGGCGGGAGCGTAGGGTGAGACCAGCACGGGGGGCTTGTCAGGTCAGAGGTGTTGTCCTCTGGATTCAGTGACGGTCCTGTCAGCAGGGCAGCTGCCCCGCACACCTTGCTGGGAGCATCCTGGCGTGAGTCGGGGCACCTTGTCTTTGCTGCTTTCGAGCCAGTTGCATTTTTAAGACCTCAGAATCGAGCCCGCAGTCCTGCCACGTGGACCATGCATCTTTTTCTGCACCAGCCACCGAGACACTGAATTTCACGGTTGGTTTTTACCTTTTCCATCCAGAGCGGCGCCCGGGGCTGGGCTGTCGGGAGCTCGTCTTCAGAAACCTCTGCAAGATACTTCCCGCCATCTGTCACGACATCACGGACTGGGTGGTGGCCACGCGGGTGAAGGCCGCGCAGCTGCTGGCCGTGCTGCTGCTGCACGCGGAGGACCACGCCACGCAGCACCTCGAGGTCCTGCTCCGGACCCTGCTGCTGGCCTGCGCGGACGAGGAGCCCGCCGTGGTGCGCAGCGTGAGTGGCCTCTTCCAGTCGCACAGACTTGGGGTGGGGGCAGGTTTGCGACCCAGGTGAGGCTCCTGCAGCCGCACGCTGGCGCCACCGCCAGTCCCCAGAGGGCGAGTGCTCTTCTCCATCCATGATGCCGCAGGGCGCAGTTCCGGGGACAGGCCTCCGTGCATCCTCAAAGCTGCACTGCAGGGCCTGGGGCCCCTCTTAGGGACCCCGCAGGGACGGAGCCCTTCCACTAGTCCCACTTGCTGCTGGAGAAGCTGGGGGTGGGGTAGTCCACCCTTCTGGGGGCAGCCCAGGCCCCTCCCAGCAGCCCCCTCAAGTCTCAGCAGCATCTTCCAGTGCACCAGGATCGCCCAGCCAGACGCCCTGGCCCGTGCCCTCACCCGCTTGTCCCCACAGTGCACGCGGTGCGCGGAGCTGATCGGGACGTTCGTCAGCCCGGAGGCCATCCTGAAGCTCATCTGGCCAATGCTGAAGAAGTCGCCCTCTGCGTCCGGCCTCCTGGTGCTCGCTGCGGTTGTCCAGGGCTGCCCGAGGGAAACCCTGCAGCCGCACCTGAGGGCCATCGCCACAGAGCTGGCGGGGACTCACGTCCGGCAGGGGTCTGAGGAGGTGAGTGCAAGGGGACGGGCGTGCAGTGATTCTCAGGCCTTTCACCTTCCAGCCCATAAACTGCTGAAACTGCAGCCACGTATTTATTAGTCAAAAAGTGCTGTGTGATTTTGGCTTGTTCATATGGACAGCGGTTGCATTGGTTGTTTTTTTTACTTGACAACCTATGGGGCAGAGGTCAGTGCCCCTGAGTCAGCAGTCTGGTGTCCCCCATTGTACAAGTTGTCCCAGGGCATGACTGTTGATGACTGGGGCGTAGGCAGTGCATCCGACCAGCAGTGGTGGCCAGGACGCCTGCGCCTTAAACGTGGATTGGGGGTCACTTCAGAAACCAGTCACCCTCCCAGACCCACCCACCCCAGGCCTGAAGGGACTGGCTGCAGGAAGTCAGAGGCGGGATGTCAGCCCCGACCCAGGGCTCACGGGGGTTGGGTGGCCGTGGCAGGCAGGGGCCGGGCCTGAGTGGGCCACACCAGCTGCTCCAGGAGGCAGTGCGTGCCACGGAAGTGTGTTTACGTTCAGTAACACAGAGTGTCACGGAAATGTTCAAAATGTACGTGAGTCAGGAGAACGCCCCTGGCACCCGCCTCCCAGCCTCTGAGGTCGCCCCTCGAGTCCTCACCTGGCCTGACGTCTTCCACCTTTCCTGGGCCTGTGCAGTGGGGCCTGGGCTGTTCTGAAGCAGACCCTCGGGCCGAGTCACCTCACTGGTCACGTCTGTGTGACCATGTAGGGTCATGGACACGTGAGAGCTTTTAAAAGCACTAGAGAAAACCTAGGAAGCTGTCACCAAGAGTAACACAGGTTCATTAACTTCCAGCCTGGTTTCCGTTGCATGTTGTATACACAAGCCCCTGGGGGTTGGGGCGCTGGACCCCGAGGCCCAGCACTGCTGCATGACCTGAGTGGCCTGGGACCACAGCTGACAGGTCCCCACTCTGTCTGCAGCTCCGCTACGGCCAGCACCTGCTGCTGTGTGTGCGGGCCCTGGTGTCTGTGAGCCGTGAGGACTGCCGGGGGTGCGGCTTGCCGCTCCTGCAAGTGCTGCTGACCGTGATGGCGCTCCCAGGGGCTGCGAGCCTCGGCAACCAGGTGAGCCTGCGGGATGCTCCAGCCCTGCTCCCTGGGTGCTGGCACCCACCTCTGAACGTCGTTTACATCTGTCTAGAGCCCTGAAGCTCCCCTGGTCATGCCCAGCTCTGCTCCACAGGAGCATAAGGACGGCTTGGGGCAACTTGGGGAGCGGCTGCCTTTCTCACAGACTGAGTGCTCAGTGGCTGCCTGCTGGTCTGCCTCCTAACCAGGGGTGCGGCCAGCCTTGACCTCACGTGAGCGGAAATCCAAGTGGAAGCTGGGTCTGCAGCCCCAGCCTGCCAGGACTCACTTCCGAGGGCTTGCGTTCTGTTCCTTCTCGCAGGGACGGGGACATGGCTCACCTGGTCACCCCCACAGGTTGTGGCAGGGTGGGGGCTCAGAGAGTGGGGAGGGGACTCTCCCAGCCCATACCTCACACTTTGCAGGTTCAGGAGACCGTGGACATGCTGGCCGCAGCAGAGGGCGGAAGTGACAGCCAGGACCTCTACCGTGAGCACACCGGGCCCCTCCTGGAGTGGCTGGCCGGGTCCCAGCCTGACTGGACCGCACACTCCCCAGAGCTCCTGCAGTTCAGCGAGCTGGTTGCCCATGCAGGTGAGCCCCCCACAAAGCAGAGTGCCCCCGGCAGGGTGTGCTGCACCGAGGCCACTGTTCAAAAGCCACTCACAGTCACTGCCACTGTGTGGAACAAGTATGCAGAAGGCTGAGGAGGCCACCCTGGAGCTGGACTGCAGCTTGCCAGGTCGGCCCGGCACAGGTGCTCACGGCTCCTCCGTTGCCTGTGACCCTCAGGCCAGTCTTGGGCTTGTGTAGTGCCCGGCAGCAGCAGATGGTGGTCGCTGGCTGCGGGAGCCCTGGGTCCCCCCCTTCCCACAGGTCCCCCACCAGCACCCAGTGAGGCCTGTCCATGGGGCGAGTGGTGCCACGTCCGGTTCTCTGGCACAGGCAGTATGCATGCACCGAAATTCAGGGAGGTTCTTAGCAAAGAAATTTAAGTGATTTTCTGCATACGAGGCAGGCAAAGCGGACTTACAGTTGTGAGGGTGTGAAACAGCCCACTCTGGGGTTATTTGTGAATCATCGCGTTTCTTGTGTGAACAAGTGCAGGCCTACTTTCCTGCCCTGCCTGTCCTGTGTCCAGGTGAGGAAAGTCAGTTTGCCCCTGTGTAAGTGTGACAGCAGTTCTGGGTCCTGTAAGCTGCAGAGTGGGGCTCTGAGCCCTCCCGGCCCCTCCCTCACCTCTGGGTATGGCAGGTATTGTGGCAGCTCTCGATTAGGAAGGTCCCTGCCGTCGTTGTGGCTGGGCAACCTGCCAATCAATCATGGTCCCTGGACAGTGCCCGCGGCCTGGCAGCGGTTCGTCCCAGGGCCCGACAAAGAAAGAAACCAAAGGCCTGGAAGAAATCAGAACGGCTCCTGGTTGGCCTCCTGCGGAACCTCGTTTCTGCGTCTGGAGGCCGAGCGCTGGCCCTCATGGCCAACGCACTTTCCTGCCTTGTAGCCTCGTTCTCCTCTCCTCAGAGTGTCTGCAGGGGGGGCAGAGACACTGCTGAGCAGGGAGCCCCCTACCCCCTCTGCCCAGCTTCTTTCTGGGCCTGGTGTATTCAGTTTTGAGTGTTTACTGAATGTTTCCCAGACAGTTGCACAAGTCAGGTTATTCAGTGCTCACGGCGCAGGTGGGGACGCGGGGCACACGCACCTGGGAGAGCAGGCTGGCGTTCTTGGCAGGGAAGCTGGGGTTCGAGTTGGCAGCACCTGCGGTAGTCTCCCGAAACCTTCCGTTCCAATTTGCAATCTTTAAAAGTACTTCTCACGGAGGGAGCATACCTGGTTGACACCTGGGGAAACAAACCTGTCTGGGCCCACGTCTCACGTCTCGCCAGGGAGGTGTTGACAGGGTCACGGGAAGTGGCTGGTTTTGAAAGCGCAGTTTAGTAACGCAGGTGTGTTTTCTCTGAGACTTTCCGCACGTTGTGCATGCGGGGTGGGCTGAGTGTGCATGGCATTCACCCACGTGGGGCGTGTCAGCGTGCATGTGCGTGGACCTCAGAGGAAGGTAACCACTGTGTGCCGTGCTGTGGGGGCGTGGGTGACGTCCTCTTTCCTCTCTGTTCTCTGCTACCCCGTGTTCTCCAAGTTCCCGTTCGGAGCACATGCGGCTGCAGTGAACAGAAGATGGAGCATTTGCATGGTTTTCACCCTGCAGGTTCCTTTAGTTCCTTACGTGCGAAAGTTCTGCACGGAGGCAGCTCTCTCAGTTTGATTGTGCAACGTCTCCACATGGAGAAGAGGGGGCTGAGCAGGGGAGAGGCAGAGGCCCAGCCCGTCCCAGGGCTCGAGGCCTGTGCTCCCGGGTGAGCCCTGCGCAGGTGGGCGCTGTGTCCACAGTGCAGGTGGGAGACACAGCCCACCCATGATAAGGAAGGTGGGGTTGAATGGGAGGCCACCGTCCCTGGGTTGGATTAGGCCCACAGTCAACGGCGCGCCCTCGGTGGTGGTGGCAGGAAGCTGCAGTTGGCGTGGCCGGCAGCACCGTGAGCAGCCAGAGCTTACGCTTCCAGAATCATCCGCCTCTTCTGAGCTTGTTGTCCAGCTCAGTCACACTTATGAGAAGCTGGCCTGCAGAAATCACGCTAATGAAGGAGAAAGCCATGTGTCAGAACAACTCGGGGCGCATTCAGAAGTTGGAAGTGGCCCAGATACCTGGCAGGATGTCCCCAGCACGACAGCCACCGCAGCCCACAGAGGGACAGGGTGCCGCGCAAGTCCCGCTGGCAGCAGGAGGCGTCTGTCCATGGCCGTCCATGCATCCTCAGTGGGGGTCACGCCCCAGAGGCACCCAGAAGCATTCAAGGAGCAAGTTCCGGTTTGGGGCGTGTGTTTGTTGAGCATTCTGCGTGCCGGCCGGCCCTTTCCCCGGCCCGTGGGTGGGGGGCATGTGGCCCATCCCCTCCACCCACAATGACTTTGACTGCGAGATTCAAGCGCCTTTCCAGCTGGTCGCAGCGTGAAGAGAGGCAACCAACAAACCCAAACCAAAGGCTAAAGGGAGGCAGCCTGGCCCTGGGTGCTGGGCTGTAGGCGGGTCCTTGAGGCCATGGGCCTGGGGGTGGGGTGCATAGGGCCCATGAGGGCGGTTCTGGTGTGCAGTGCCTCGGTCCAGGGAGATCTATGTGACAGCAGCCACCTGCTCCCACTCCTCTGTGCCCACTCCAGGCTCCACCCACACCCTCACCCCGCCCGTGGGGCCTGGCCCAACCCCGTTCGTGAAAAGGCCTCATTGGACCTACTTCATATCAAGAAACAATTTTTCAAAAAAAAAAAAAAGCCAGTTTTCAGATGGCAAGGGCCAGCCACAGGGAGGGGCAGCTTCTGGCACAGCCGACTCTCCCACATGTTTTCATTTGTGGTGACACTGAGTTGTCACTGCCTCTCATGACGCGTCCAGGCCACACACTGCTGGCCTGCCTTCTCCAAGAGTTGTCTGCAGCGGGACCCCGAGCAGCTGCCCCCTGCCAGGGATGCGCTGCGTCCCCAGGGATGGCCCCTTCACCCACTGCTGTGCGGTTCCCTCCTTCCTCTGACGGGAGTGCCAAGAGGGACGCATGTCCCCATTGATGGGGGGCTGCCATGTGGAGGGGTCAAAGCGGCGGCCTCGGGGGACAGTGGTCACCCACTGGGCCTGCCTTGCTGCCCTGTCTGCTGTGCAGGAAGCAGGTGGATGGGTGGTAGTTCCTCCTCTGATGGGGAGCCGCCAGCTTTCATCTCTGCGCAGACGGGAGAGAAGACAAGCCCGGATGCCTGAGTGAACGCTCGGTGCTCGCCCGTGTGGACGCGCCCCGCTCCATGGCTGCGTTGGCGTCTCCAGTTCACGCGGCTGCAGGTGACCCTGTTCTGAGGGTTAGTCTCTAGGTTGGAGACATGTGAGGTTGCAGTCACTTCGCCTGCCGCCCTCGCAGTCATCGGCATCAGCAAAGCGCTGTGAGCAGGGGGGTCAGGCGACCCTCGTAGTCTAGACTAGAAGTCGGCAGTGGGCACCGGGCCTGGTGAGGGTGGGGCTGGGGGTCCTGTGGCTCGAAGCTCATGTCTGCACCCAGTCGAGGCTCCCTGAGTTTCCCGGCGCTGAGGACCTGGCCTGTGCTCGAAACCTCAAGCGCCGCCTGGGACACGCAGCAGTTCTCCATCAACCAACATATGTGAGGGAGGAGGACGTCAAGGTCAGGGGCAAAGAGGGAACAGCTCATATCATTGATTTCGGCTGATACTTAACACGTTGGTTGACTTTATTTTTTAAGGACTTGGAAAACTAAGTTTACAAATCGAACGATTAGAGATGGGATGTCAAGTTCATTGTCACGAGAGGAGGGAGGCCCATAAGCATTGCAGTTGCCTTCAAAGGGCCAGATGTAATATTAGGACTGTGTAACTGTAACTGCTCCTTAACTAGGGGCAAGGAGCTCGGTGCTGCCACTGAGAAATTAGGTGCTGGGCCAGATAAAACCAGGTGAAAGGCTGGACTTGGCCTGCAGGCCTTGTGTGTGCCACCTGTAGGTTAGCAAAATCGGAGGGTGAAATGTTCTCAGTCACCTCTGTCCCATCCTGCAGAAGGGACCTTCCCTCTGCAGCCGGGAGCGCCCCCTGTCTGTGCACAGGGGCAGAGCAGGTGCTCTGTGTTGCAGGCCCTGCCCTGGGAGAAGCACTGCCCCAGCTGGTCCCCATCCTCCGGAGCTGCCTGCAGCCTGACAGAGACCCCCAGATGCGCCTGAAGCTCTTCTCCCTCCTGGCCCGGACGCTGCTGAGAGCAAAGGAGACTGTGGACTCCCAAGGGTAGGTGCCCCCCACACACAGCCGCCCCACACTGCCCCCACCCCACACTGTCAAGGGTGGGGTGCCGCCACCACCCTGCATGGCCTCAGGCTGGAGCTTGCAGCCCCAGGTAGACGTTGAGGTCCGGGCAGGGAGTGTGCCACCCAGGGAGGCACTAAATCAAAGTCGCTGTAGTCGTTAAAATTCCACTCTGAAAAAGTTTCAGGGAACATTAACTATTAATGGTTAATGCATTAGCTATCTTCAGGTTTAAAAGCCTTTTGGTAGCTTTCAACCTGAACGAAGAGTTGATGGGATCACCATGGACAGGGAAGCTTTTGGAAGAGCTTTCAGGCAGCAGCACCGGCTGCAGCTGCGTAACTTTGAAGCAAAGGAACGGGGTGGGGGGGTGGGCAGGAAGCCCTGGGGCCCACCCAGCCCCTTTGTTCCGTCAGCAGAGATGGTGTGGGGCGGGGCCTGCAAGCCTGTGTCTGGGTCAGGTAGATGCTGGGAGCTGTCTAGGGACCCATCCCGGGAGGGAGCTGATCAGCGCAGAGCCGTGCTGCGCTGTTGGGAGTGTGTTGGGGGAGCATGGTGTTGCCTGCAGATGCCTGGGCTGTTCACTGTTCTTCCCCTGACGCCGTAGGAGCTCTCTGCTGTTGGGCCTCGAGCCAAACGTCTTATTGCAGGAACTCCACTTCCTGCCTGTCTGCAGAGACTCGGGCTCGTCAGGGACCATAAAGGCATGCTGAGTGCGGCCCTGGCTGCCGTCCCGGCAGCAGGCGGGCCCGCGCCTGGACCACCTGCGAGGCTGTCCGCTCGAGCGGCGCCCAGCCCTGTCCCCGTCCCTAAGGACAGTTAACCTGCCAGGTGTCTGCTGCGTCTGGACGAGGCTCCTGAAGGGAATTGCACTGAGCTTCAGCACTGAGAGAGATGGGTGCTGGAGGGAGCAGGTAGTTCAGTGCAGCTGTGTGGGTGGGGTGTTGGCTGTTTCCACAGTCGGAAAACACCACCACCAGGTTTTGGGCTTCAGGGCTATAAAGGGATGACTGTAAAATGTGTCATCGACTCATTGGAATGAAACGGTGGAAAGGGGACCATGGCTCCCATTCGTCTGTCAGAGTGTCTGTCCTTTGGCTAGCCCCACGGGCTCTGCTCTGGGGGCGAGTGGGGGCTGCGACTCCCACCTGGCATTTCCACCCAGACTCGAGAGTCTGGGGCAACACCAGGGCTCAGTGCTGGGCTGCTCTCTCCACAGAGCCCTTGGCCCGGGCTCTCTGTGCCTGCCCTGGGCAGGGGTGCCTGCGTGTCTGGCTCTCGCCCCCCGGGAACATGTTCTCAAGGAGCCGGCAGGCAAGCTGCAACCTGCACCTGCTTCCTCGTCTTGGTGGGGGGAGCACCTGTCCCACACACAGGCGTGTGTTTTCTGTGCACAAGAGAATTGTTTGTAAGTCCAGTGCTTCTACTCCCCAACACGGAATTACCTCCAAGGGCAGTTCAGACACGTGGTTTCTGGCCACGTTAGGAGACTGCCTTGGAGACAGGACACAGGGCTCGGTCTTTCTGAAGAGCACGCCTGTGCATCCCTTCCAGAAAACCACAGCTCCCTGCCTAAATATTACAGCACATTGGAGACCTCACTGAACACGTGCGGACCATCCGAAGCCAAACACACTTTTCAGGTTTGCGGCCTCCCCTTCGCCAGCAGCTCTGCAGCACCCCCTGCTGGAGGCCACGGCCCTGCACCTGCAGCCTGAGCCCTAGGTGTTCCCAACAGCTGGGGCCAGAGCACTGAGCAGCCTTCGAAATGCACTTTGCAGCAAGGCTGGCAAATAATGAGTTGTTTGTTCAGGAAAATATGTCTCGATCTGTGGGCAGAGGCCCGTGGGGGCAGTGGGGCCTGTCAGCAACGTGGAGGATTGTCTCTGGGTGGTGCTGAGAACTCTGGCCCCTGCAGTTCTGAACCACCAGGTGACAGGCTGGGGCTCTTCATTTTTGTCTTAGTGGCACGTTGCAGTGGTTGGTCACCATGGAGACAAAGTCCCCTGTGAATCAGAGGGACAGTTGCGTCTCCCTGTGTCACTGCGCTCGGGAGCCTCACCAAGGTGGAGGCCGTGTGGGCAGGACCTTGGGCCTGTCTCCGTAGAATCATCACACATGGGGGTGATGGATGCCGCCCCTGGTGACGTGTCTCAGGTGTAGCTTGCTGTCCTCCTCAGAGCTGGGGCAGTGACTGTGTAGTCCCTGCAGCACTGTAGGCTCCTGGGCCCCAGGTTGTCAGGAGGAGCCAGCTTTGGCGGGCGCCTCCGCAGGGAGCAGCCCCCTGCCCCTGACCCTGTGCTCTGTGCTCCCTCTGCAGGCAGTTCCACAGCTACCTTGACACCCTGGTAAAGGACATCATGGCCCCTAACCTGCAGTGGCGAGCAGGGAGGACGGCTGCTGCCATCCGTACGGCCACCGTGTCTTGCCTCTGGACACTTGTCAGCAGCGACGTGCTATCAGCCACACAGGTCGGGCTTGGGCGTCCCGGGCCCATGTGGGGGCAGGGGGCTCACCCCATCTCCCTGGCCGCAGTGGGGAGGCACCCAGAGCTGTGCTGTGTGCCCCTCAGGAATGTGAAGGGGACCCTGGTGGGCAAGCAGTGGGGGGGTGCAGAGTCTGGGGCACATGTTTTGTTTGCTTGGGCCATCTCAGGTTTTTCTGAGGCTGACACATTGAATGTTGCTCCTCACAAGACAGATTTTCATCGCAGGAACCTAAGCAGATTGGACCGGCCCTGGCTGTCTGCATCATGCATGTTGTCTCCCTGTTTGGCTGACCCCGGGGGGCAAGGGAAGCAATAGAAAGGGTGTAAACGCATGTGCCCTACTCTTCTGGTGAAAATGCCTCACCAGGTGCGGGGCTCCCCCGGTGCACGAACGGCTGGGACTGATGTTAAACTGCCCCCAGACGATGGCGGCCATTGCAGGTAGCCACCCTGGTGAGGAGCGGCTACATAGGGTTCGGGTCTCAGTCAGGCTTGGTGAGTCATAGATTCTTAAGAAATCAGCTCACCAAGTTAAACAAAAATTGTTCAAATTATCTAGATTTTAAAACACAGGTTCAAGTCTGCTTATGTAGAAATTTCAAACAGTGCCCCAGACTCTGTGTTACTTGCACGAAAATGCAGTCTGTCGCCACCAGGCAGTCACGTGCCAGGTGCGTGCCTCACATCAACATTTACACTGACCGCAGGCACAGGACGTGCGGGAGACGCTGGCTCCCCAGGTGCTGACCACCCTGGAGGAGGACTCACAGACGACTCGACTGACTTCGTGCCGAGTCATCGACGCATTTGTAAAAGCCTCTGGTGATACAATCGATCCTGACAAATTCATCAAGATTTATCCTGGTGGGACATTTTTCTTTTCCTAAGCACGAGTATACATTTGACAGGTGTTCCTTTTGTAGGAAAATTGAGAAGTGCTACTTGGACTTCCTGTCACACTGGTGCTAAGAGTGCAGGCAGGGCTGTGACATCACACCACTGAACAGCTACCCTGAGGGAGGAGACAGAGGGATGGGGCTGGGGGCAGGGCCCAGCAGGAGCATGGTGGGGTCCCCACAGCAGCCAGGGTTCTGCCTTCACCAGGCAGGGGCCCCTCAGCCCACACCCTGTGCTACCCTCCCTGCAGAGCTGCTTAAGCGGCTGGATGACACGTCCCACGAAGTGAGGCTGGCGGCAGCTTCCGCCCTGGCCAGCTGGCTGCAGTGCATCGGGAGTGGCGCCGGGAAGTCTTACTACCAGAGCCACGTCCAGCACCTGTACCGGGAGCTCCTTGTGTACCTGGACGATCCCGAGAGCGCCATTCAGGACGCCGTCCTGGGTAAGCGAGCCGATGACTGGCACTAACGGGAAGTCCGTTCCATGCGGACGTGAGTAACGTGTTTGAAAGATGCTTTTTCTGAGATAAAACGCTGAGTGAGAAGGGTGTCATTGGTGTCTCCTTCGCTGTGCAGAAATTGTTAGTTCGAAGTAGTCCCACTTGGTTTTCTTTCGTTGCCGTTGACAGACGAGAGATGCCTAAAAAGACCCTGCCAAGAGCAATGTCAGGAGTTCACTGCCTAGGTTTCCTTCAAGTTCTGTGACTTTAGGTCTTGCAATCAAGTCTTTAATCCCCTGAGTTTGTTCTTGTATATGGTGTAAGAGGGTGGTCCAGTTCCGTGGTTTTTGCATGTATCTGTCTAGTTTTCTAATAGACTCTCCTTTGTCATAAATTAACAGACCTTCTGGGCTGAGTCCTCTGTTCCATTGATCTGTGTGTCTGTTTTTATACCAGTACCAGACTGTTTTGAGTTCTGCAGCCTTGCATTGGCTTCTGGCATCTCAGGGGTGTCTGCTGTTTTACAGAGGTCCTCAAAGCCGGCGGCAGCCTGTTCCCCGACCTCCTGGTGCGAGAGGCGGAGGCAGTGGTCCACAAGCACCGCTCGCCCACTCGCTGTGAGCAGCTCCTGCGGCACGTGCAAGCCGGGCCGCCCACCCAGTGACCGCACTGCGGGGCCGGCTGGCAGCACCACCTCTGCAGGTGGGCTCGAACACCAGACCCCCGTCCCCACCAGGGTGAACCTGGTGGTCTTTACAGCTCACAGCAGCCAAGGACATGAACGAGAAAACTGTGACAGCCAGAAGAATGTGTTTCCTGAGAAAACCGCCCTCCACTTTTTGAGCCGCCCAGCAGTTTCTAAACTGATATTCAGCAGGTGGTCCTGTTCCTATGGGCTGTCTGTGCAGGCCATCGGCAGGCTGCCAGAAGTCCACGCTCACCCAAAATGAAAACTGGACGTCAGCTGTGCACACTGCAGCACGACCTGTCCTCACTCTCCCTTTTTTGAAGGCGTGTGTGCTCCTAGGCTGGGGATTGCTGCTTCTCTCACTTTAGCACCTGCTGCAGAAGTTCTTGACCATTTCAGAAAAGCCAGAGAGATGGAAAGGAGACTCCGTCCTTTGTTTGATTCTGTCTGTCTGTGTGTCTGTCTGCTGGCCCCAGACACTTCAGTGAGCAGACTGAAGGGGATGAGACCCTAAGAACTGTCATTGGTGGAAATCTCCCCACTTGAGATGCACTGGAACTTAAGTGTGTTGTGGGTCTGTTCGGTCAGGTCTTGTTTAGGCCACTAATGCTGACAGTGTTGAAAAGAGACTGTTTAATCAGATTTCAGTTGCTCTCTTATAAAGAGCAGTAAAGTAAAATTGTATTTTATTCTCTAGCACTCTCTACACCCAAGTGCCTGAAAAATTTCACCGTAAGTGGTTTTTATTTCTACAAGCCAAATACATATGTTAACACAAGGGGGGAAATGCTGTATTTTCCAACAATCAAATATTAATGTTTATGCTTTGGTGTTTGAAACTTAATTAAAATATTTATTGTAATCATTTTGTATACCTGTCTTTGTGTGTTTTGGTAATTGATGGATATTTTTTCAGAAATCACTCATTTTTCCCTTAACTGTAACCTCACTGAGAAGCCAGCCTTGAGAACTGGGGGGCCTGCAACTTAGCACGGTGGCCACCACTCATTTTCAAGCCCTCTCTGGACACTAGGGGGCAGCAGCTCCCCTCAAGAACACAGGGGCTGCAGCCAGAGGCCCTGGGCTCATTCTCGGGGAGGCTGGGGTGTTGGGACTGGGGACCAGTGGCCTGGGGAAGAGGTGGGGTCTGAGTCTGCAGTGCAGACTTGGGTCACCACAGCCCAGGCCCCACAGGACGTGTTCCTGACTGCACTGACGTCATCACCCTCCTGGGTCCCCTCCAGTTCTGATGATTGATGGCTACAGGGAGGGATTTGGGAAGTCCTCAGGCCTGGTCTTGCCCAAGAATTAGTTCCCTAATTGCTCTCTGCCTTCAGCATCCTCTGCCTTTCCTTCCTCAGCATCGCCTGGAAACTTGTTAGAAATGCCGATTATGCCCTGGCCGATGCAGCTGACAGGAGCGGAGTCCCATAAACCGAAAGGTTGTGAGTTTGATTCCCAATCTGGGAACAAGCCTGGGCCAGTTGATGTTTTTCTCCCTTCCTCTCTTTCTAAAAGGTAAATGAAAAACTGTCCTCGGATGAGGATAAATAATAAGTGCTAATTACCAGGCCCCGAGCCAGACCCGAACCAGATGGGTGGGGCCCAATGGTCAGCCCTCCGGGGGCTTCAGATGCCCCTGAGCACAGCAACCCTCCACCCCCACACCCTGAGCACCGCATATCTTCACGTCCCACCAGAAGCCCCACCTTCTATCTTGGGTCAGCCATTGGTGTCACAGGAACCAAAAATAAGTGGCCGTGAACTTACTTGGCAGAGAGGACAACACACTTAAGTCCTTAGTACCCATTTTGTTGATGGCTTCCTTCACTGTGCAAAGAACTTTCAGTTTCATATAGTTCTGTTTCTGTATTTCTTTCCTTTTGTTGCCTTTGCCTGAGGAGACGTATCCAAAGAGATCCTGCTAAAAGTGATGTCAAGAGTTTACTGCCCATATTTTCTTCCAGGAGTTTTACATTTTTAAGTCTAACATTGAAACATTTAATCCATTGTATATGGTGTAAGAACTGGTCCAATTTTGATTTTTGCCTCCTTTGTTGTAGGTCAATTGACCATATAAGTGAGGATATATTTCTGGCCCTGTTCTGTTCCATTGATCTGTCTGCTTTTATGCCAGCACCATGCTGTTTGATTATTGTAGCTTTGTAGTATAGTTTGGTGTGAGGAAATGTGATACCTTCAACCTTTGTTGTTTGTGGTTTCATACAAATTTTAGAGAAATTTAATTTAATTCTGAGAATACCTTTGGTATTTTGATAGGGATTGCATTGAATCTGCCTATTGACTTAGGTAGTAAGGACATTTTAACAACAGTAATCCTTCCAAACCAAGAACCAAGAGTAAAGTATAATCTTCCATTTCTTTGTACCTTCAGTTTCTTTCTTCAATGCCTTGTAGTTTTCAGAGAACAGGCCTCTCACCTCTGCTTGTTTTATTACTGGCTTTTTTAGAGAGAGAGAAAGGACAGGAGAGAGATCGGTTTTGTTGATAAGTTCAGTGATACATCATTGGTCCCCTCTTGCCTGTGTCCTGCCCTGGGATCCAGCCACTACCTTGCCAGGTCCAAGAGGTCGGTCTAACCACCTGAGCAACCCCGCCAGGCGTCCACTTCTTTTTAATCACTGAACCCTACCTGCCCCCACCCTGTCCCGCCATGGGTGTTTAAGGGCCTGGTACGCTCTTCTCTGTACAGTGTATTACGTGCATTTTGTGTCAACTTTTTTGTAATTGAAATTACTAAAAGGAAAAGCACTCGTCCTTCTGAGCTTGGAAGGTGCAGCCCGCAGTGGTTCCTGCAGGTGGCAGCCTGTGCTCTGACCACTGCCAGTGGCCAGCCGGACGTAGAAATACTTCCCGCAAATAAATCTTTCTTCCCCATTTTCCTTTTTCCAGGATTCGCGAACGTCCAGACAGGGAGGAATCGCCTGCATGGCATAGGTACTGAGGCGGTGGGCCACAGGGAGCGTTTTTTTTGTTTTGTTTTGGGGGTTTTTTGTTGTTTGCTTTTTGCGGCTTTTTAGACTTAAATCGCGTACACTTCTAGGAGCAATTGAAGAGGCGCCAGGCCACACTGGCAGGGGCGCCCCAGAGCACACAGCCGCGTGGCAGAGCCCGGGCCTGGCACCCGGTCCACGGGTGGTGCGGTGACTGGAGATGGAAGCCTCTGTCTGGAAGTCCCGAGTCCCTCCCTGGCCTCGGTGTTGACACTCCGACCCCCGAGGGCCCGATGCTCGTTTCTTTGTATTTCCGTTTTTAAAAATGCTGAGGTTTTGGCTAAGGCAGAGGCGAGGAACGGCGGGGAGGAGGGACGCGCAACCCTCGCAGAGCTGGGCCTTAGCAGCACTGTTTCGTCGCCCTGTGCCAGGCCGGGGGCGAAATTTCCATCCTGGGTATAGGCTCTCTGGGTCGCCGCCATGCTGGGGACCCCGGGGGGGGGGGGGGGGTTGTCCGCACGCGCGTCCTCGCAGCGGGACCCTGCCCAGCGCCAACAGCAGTCACACTACCGCCGCTGCCCGTTCCCAGTGTTAGACATTCGGGTGACATTTAATTCTGACACTAGGAACTGCTCCTTCGAAGCCGCCCGCAGTCTCACCCATCGCTGCCCCGCGACTCCCAAGTCCCTGGGCCCTAGAGGGTAGCGCATCCTGCGGAGTCGTGCCTTGCGCATGCGCAAAGCCCGGCTGCCGTTCCCAGCCACCCTTGCGGCGAGGCGCAGGGCTGGCTCATCAACCCCACCCTACCCTCCGTGGTGCTAGGGGCATGCGCAGATGCACGGCGGTGTCTATTCGGGCGTGTCCTATCCCCTGAGGGGAGCCTTGCACTGGTGCCGGGCGTGGCTCCCCGGGTCCCTGGGGAACAGTGTTGACTGTTCCCGCGGGGCACCGAGGCCGGCAGCCCCACACTCCCAGCACCGCTGACAGGGCCCTACGTGGGGGCTGTCCTCTCCCGGGGGGCCCGTGGCGGGCATGGTGGACTGTGGCTTACGGACGGTGCTCCCTCCCAAACTAATCGAGGTACTCGGGGGACAGGGGCGCGGGAACGAGCAGAGCAGCCAAACACGCAGGCTTCCAGGCACAGATCGGGGTCACAGGCAGATCCGGGCAAGGCTGGGGCTCGTGCAGAGACGTTGGAGACTGGAGGTGATTGTGTCTTCTCAGGGGTCTCCCCCAAGTTACTAGTCACAGAGGGACAGTGGCTTCTTGCCAGTGGAGAACCTCGTGCCCACCCCTCGGCCCGCCGTGTCCCCTCCTTCCCTCCCTCCCTAAGATCATCCTCGGGTGAGGATTAAAAATAAATAACGTGCAGAACTACACGTCTGTGTCTTGCCCTGCTGCTGTGGGACAGGGTCCCTCGTCTCCCCACCAGGAAAGGCGGGGACCCCTCTGCTGGTCTCCCAATTCACATCAGCCTGCATCTCGTCAAGGTTGCCCTTTGTAGTTGGAACAAGTTGAAGCACTGACTTTTCCACGCTTTTCTGTGGGTGGATTCCTAAGGCGAGACCCACCAGCAGAACTTTCTCTTTCAGGCTGTATGAGTTTTATTTACTGAGCAGACTGCTGGAATAGGAGTTTCCCTCTTTGTGCCCAATATCCCTAGAGAAAAATGGTTGTACTCTACGAATGCTCAAAATAATGCCAAGTTTGGTTTGCTTTATGCTTGACCACAACCTTCAGTTACAGCTTTTTGTTTCATTTACTGGGTGTCTAATTGCCTTCATGTTTTCTTTTGGGCAAAAGAGCACAGTTCCTCCACCACCTACTCACTGTGACCCCGCCCCTCTCACAAAAGCTTGCCCGGGGTGCCCGTTTCCCTGCGTCGTCTGTCTCAGAGCTGCCGCTCACTGCTGGCTGGACCCTGCTTCCTGAGTCCGGGAGTCCTCGGTGGTCTGCTGGCAAACACCACACGCATGGCTGAGAAAGGGACATCTGCACATCTCCAAAAAGGCCTTCCGTTTGCCCTCCTCACTGGGCACAGGTTTCTGGAGCCCACGTCTTCCTCCAGGACTTAAAGGCACAGGTCCATTCTGTCATCATCTAGCTGTTGACAGTTTGATGGTCACTCCTTTGCAGGAGTCACAGGTTTTCTCTCCAGATGCTTTTAAATCTTGTCTTTATCCCTAGTATTCTGAAATGCCACAAGAACGAATCTAGATGGGGATCTTTAGTCACCTTGCTCTGTGTTTGCGGGCCTTTCACCTTCTGTGATTGTTGTTTTTGAGGACCGTCTCTGTCCTCTGTTTGGAACTCCCGTGACCCTGTGGTTGTGGGAGTCCTGGACTGGCCCCCTGCTGCTCCTACCGTTTCTCACGGCCCTCCCCTCTGCTGGCCCTCCTGTTTTTCTTTCTTGGGCATTTCTATGTCCCGGATAGTTGTTTGGCTTCACTCTTTAGTCTTTCTATTAACCCTTTTATGTCCACCACTTTTTTAAGAAAAAGTTAATTTTCTGTAGAGAGAGAAAGAAGGGTGGAGAGAGGGGAGCATGATTTCTCTGGTTGAGGCCTGTCTGCGCCCTGACCAGGGATTGAACCTGCAACTCTGGTGCATCAGCATAATGCTCTAAGCAACCGAGCCCCTGAGCCAGGCTCCACCATTCACTTTTTAAAAGTCTCTTTTTCTGTCCTGACTGGTGTGGCTTAGTGGGTTGGGCATTGTCCTGCAAACTGAAAGGTCAGCAGTTTAATTCCTGTCCAGGTTCCCCCTCGAGAGGCAACCGATCAGTGTTTCTCTCTCCAACATCGGTGTTTCTTTCCTTATTTCCCTTCCCTTTTCTCTAAAAGTAAATAAAATATTTAAAAATAATAATAACAAAATAAAAGTCTCCAATGAACTTTATTGAGATTTAATT